AAATATTAACGCGGAATAACTTGCAAATACCCTTATAAATAATATTTTTTACTTTATTAATATATTAAAAAACATGGTTAGTAACCATAAAAGTCTTTTTACTAATATATTTTAGGTTATACTAAGCTACTACCTGGGCGTAAAATAAAAATTATTTATTATATATTACCCGCAGATAAATGGCTAAATTAAAAGGTAAAACTAAGTTTTTAAATATTATTTTTATGCTTATATTAACTAGTACTAGGATAATTAGCCATAATAAATTAAAATAATATAATTTATAAATAATAATATATATAAGTAGTTTATAGGTTGCACACCTACTAAAGCTTTTATAAATTTAAAGGTAATTATATATATTAATATTAAGGGGCCTAACTAAATATTAAAAATTAAACTTTAAAAAGCTATAAAGTTTAAGAAAATCCGCGCGAATTTAAAAAAATAATTATAAAAGTTAAAGAAAGCCATGGCAGTTTAATATAATAAAAAGCATAAAAAAATAAGCTTTAAAATTAATAACCATGTTATACTTTATATAAAAAATATTAAGTTAGTAAGACTAAATTATAAATTAAGTAAAATATTTATTAGCCTGTTTTTAATAATTATAAAATAGGGAAAACAGTCCTATAAGCTACTACTTTTACTAAATATATAATAATTATATAATATTTTTTATATTATATTTTTAAAACCTTACCGCGGCGACCTATTTTAAGTATTAAATATTAGCTTTATACTAGTAAATAGCAAGAAAAAATACTTTATTAAAAAAATTCTTAATATTTATAAATTTAAGGGCAAGGTATAATACCTTATAAAATAGCAAGAATAAAATAATATAAAAAATAATACATGGGAACTAAAAATTTATATAGTTAAAACTATAGCACTTAAAAATTTTAAAAAAACCTATAAAAATAAATTGCGTAAAGTAAAGAAACACTAAATATAAATATTTATATTTATAACCTACGCGCACTTATAAAAAAAAAAAAAATATATTATTTTTACTAATTAGCGGCGCCCGCAGGGCCTTTTAATAAAAAAAAAAAATAAAAATATAAAATAAAATAAAAAATAATAAAAAACTTAAATAAGTGGCTAAGCCGCGCGGCATGTAATACCTAATATATATAAAATAAGAACCAAGCCCACAAGGGCGCTAATATTAATACCTAATATAAAAATAACCCTAATAAAAATTTTTAAAAGTGTTAAGGTGTAGTAAACCCCGCACTAAAAGTAATAAAAGTTTATAAAAAAATTAGTAATATAATATAGTGCAAACTAAAATATATAAATATATACTTAGTAGCTAAAACCGCACTTATATAAAAAAAAATTATAGCTACTAAAGTAGCACTAAATAAAGGTTTAAAAATTAAAAAAAAAATTATTATAATAAATTAATAAACTAAAACACGGTAATACTACAGGAAGGGGATTAACTTATATAATAAATTATTATTTTTATTAAGGGGGGCACTAACCTATAAAGTAAAGTTAAATATAAATATAATAATATTTATAAAATTAGCTACTTATATATTATTAGCCGTGGTAGTTTACTTAATAACTATTTTAAATACTTAATAAGCTGCCCTTAAAATAATAAGGTTTTTATAAGCTTGTGGACTACTAGCTTTTATATATATAATATTAATAATATTAAGAATATTTTATAACTAGTTACCTACTAAGGTAATATTAATAGTTATATATTTTAAGAGCGCCCTTTTTATATTATAATAAAACTAGCACTTTTTACCCCCCTGGTTATAAGTAAGGGCTTTTATTATAATATTTATAATAAATATATTTTTATTTTAGCGCCCTATAATAATAATATATATAATATATTATAAAATATAAAGATTAAGCGGTAAAGCTATAAAGCCCAGGGGTGGTAAGAAAAAAATACTAATAAAAGCCTTATTAGTAGGGGCGGCGGGAATAGTAGCAGGGGTAATAATAGTAGTAATAATAATAAGGGCATGTAAGTATTAAAATTAAGTAATTTTAATAATTAGCATGTTAATAATTATTAATATATAAGTAAAGGGCAGGGAAATATAATCCTATATATTAAAGGTAAAATAAAAAGTAAAGGCTAAAATTAAGGCTTAACTACTATAATAAAAAAATATAAAATAAAACATTATAATAAAATAAATAATTATTAATAATAGCATTTAAAATATAATATAAAACTATATTAAATATTAAAGTAAAAGAAATATAAAGCAAAAGGCAAGCGTAAAAGATTTTAAAAAAAAAATAAGGTTAAAAACATGTAATATAATAAAGGCTATAATAAAGGTAAACTAAATTTAATTTAACTACTAAAAATAGTTTTAAAAACATAAAAATAATAAAAGCTAAATATAAAAAGCTTATTAGCTAAATTAAAAAGGTAAGTACACAGTAAAATATAAAAAAAAAATAAATAAAAGGTTAACATGATAACATGTTAATAGCTAGAATAAAATAATTATATATTATAAATAGTTACTAAAAATATTAAAAAAAGTGTAAAAACAAGAAAATTTAGCTATTTAAAGCTTAAAGCTTTATTATAAAAACTAAGTATAAAATAAAATAAAATATATAGGCCTAATAATACTAACACAGGACTAATATTACTAAAATAAATAATATAATACTTAAAAAGCATAAAAAAAGGTAAATATAGGGTATTTTAACCCCAGGAATATAATTAAATAATTAAAAAGTAATAAAAACATAATAAAAAGGTGTATACTTATAATAGGCATTTTTAATTAAGTTATAAAAAAAACTTAAAAAAAAAAAAAAAAAATTATAAGGGTGCTTTAGTATTAAAACTAAAATACTATGCCTAGCTACCGCAGGTAATAACACTATATTTAAATTTAAAAGTAAAGTAAGGTAATTAAATTAATTTTTTATACTTAACTTTAAATATAAATTACACGTAAATTATAACACTTTATAAATTTAAAAATAGCTTATTTTATAGCGCTTAATAAGATTTATAATTTAAATTATATTTTATAAAATATAAATATAAATTTATAAATTGCAAGGGCGCGATTACTTAAAAAAAAAAGTATTATTATTATTATTATAGTATTATAATTATATAGTATTATAATAATATAATTTAGCAGCCTAAGGCCGCTAGGTAAAAAAATATTAATACTAAATTAACCGCGCGCCAAGGCGGTGGCTAGTTATATAATATATAAAATACTAAGTTTAACTCCAAACTCTAACTTAAAAAATTAGCAATTAGTTCCTACTACAAATATACAACGCCTTTCCTATTACAGTAATTCACGTTCTCCTAAGCTCACCGCAGTGTACAAACGCGACTTACAAGTACCTATATTTATAAAGCTATTTAAAGGTTTATTCACGTGGTGTTAGGCTAAAAATAAAACTATTAATATATTAAAAAGTTATTAAAGTACAGGTACTTTATTTTTTATAAAAAATTATATATAAATTAATATACCTGTATTAGCAAAGCTATTTAAAGGTTTATTTACATGGTGCTTGGCTAAAAATAAGGCTATTAACGCGTTAGTAAGGCTGTTAATATACTAGTACTTGGTTTTTTATAGGAAATTGCATATAATTTAAAGTACTTATATTTATAAAGTTATTTAGAGGTATATCCGCGCGGTATTTAGCTAAAAATAAGGTTATTAATATATTAATAAGGCTATTAGCATGTTAGTAAGGCTGTTAACATGCTAGTACTTAATTTTTTATAAAAAATTATATATAATTTAAAGTACCTATATTTATAAAGCTATTTAAAGGTTTATTAGTATAAAATTTAGCTTAGTAACGGCGGAGGGCTTACCTAGTAAAAATATGTAAAAAAATACATGCCTAGTTTTATTATAGCTTTTATTTATATAAGGGTTTTTATATAAAGTATAACTTTATTTAAATAAAGCGCGCGAATCTTACATGCTATTTTTTTTTATAATTATACTCTTAACTTTGCAAGTATTTTGCGTTATAAATTTATAATAAAAATTAAAATAAAGTAAATATATTAAAAGGGCAAGGTTAAGTTATATTATAAAAATTTTTTAAGTATTTAAATTTATAAAGTTTAGGAGTTATTTACTATTTTAGTAAATACTTAATATTTAATAATAAAATATATATTTAAATTATATGGTGTTTATAGCAGTTTTTTAAAAAGTTTAAATTTTGCTAAATTAGCGCGAATACTACTTTTTAATTAGCTAAAACTAGTTTAACCGCCCCTGTAATTATTTATTTTTAACTTTTTTTTTATTAAAAACCTTATAAGTTTTATAGGTATATTAATTTTTATGTGATTTTTTATATAATATAATATACTAGTGTAACTTAGCAAGTTTACTATAAGTTTTAATACTAGGTTAGGCATGGGGGAGGCTAACATAGCAAGGCCAGTATATAGTTTTAAATTATATAATTACTACTATATAAACTAAAATATATTAAATACTAACTAATGGGTGGGGCCCCCCTTGGTGGACCGTCGGTAGAATAAGAGCTTCCTAACTTATCCGTCCTTTGCCCCGCGGGCCGCAACTCGGAAGGCGCATGAGAACTCTTTAACTCAATAGTATTGCTTAGGACGGTGGGTAAATATTGACAGGTACTGATGAGGATATTCTGCCAGGATTCGATCCTTGCAGTTCTGCAAGATCTGGTTAGACGCTCGGCCCTTGACTAAATCTCTTTTCATTGTTCAAGCCTTATCGCCTGCATTCCCGACCCACTAGTAGTGGCCACCAGCCCACCACTCTGACCATTTTTTCGATCGGATTAATCTACCGTCCACAGTCCACTCCTTGCCTTTCTCAATCGCTCCTTCCAGACCACTGCATTCTCCAGACTGCATACTCTCGAACGCTCAGAAATCCGACATTCACTATATATAAGACAAGACCAATCGGCCTGGATCTACGCCTCGTACCTCGGCATCCCTGCAATTCCAAGCCATGTCGGACCAGTCACATAACCAGCCCGCAGACCACCCTATTAACGGCCTCAAGCCGTTATCGAACGGAGACGGATTCCATTTGCCCATAACCGGCAACGACCTCAACCATGGCGGGTACGACCACTCGGACGCGATCATGACCAACGGGCACGCCCTGGAGGAAACCGACGACGATGACGAGGAGGACGAGGTCGAGGATGACTATGTCGCAGTTGACCATGACGATCTGAACGAATATCCTTACTGGTTCCGCCGTCCGCCCGTGCGCCAACCCTCGAAGCTAGACGACCTGCATCCGTTTGTGCAGGTTCTGACCCAGTCGAACGTGGACGACTGTGTCGCTGTGGAAGAGGCATTCCCCGAACAGGAGCGCTGCACTCGAGAGAAGGCATGCATTGCTCCCGTGTGGTTCATTTTTTACTCTTGCTAACATAGTTTGACCAGTTCGCCTATCGCCTAGGAAGATGCCCCGAGCTCTGCCTTGGTCTGTTCACTCTTCCGGTTCTTGGGCTAGACCAGCCCAAACCTCGCCCTACCCTCGTCGGACACGTTATCGCTACTCGAACATCCACTCCCTATGTGACGGATAGGTCTATGGAACTACCTGCGGACTGGAAGACTGCGCGCTCAACGGTCGTCGATGGGGAGACCGTCGGTCACGACGAGTATGGAAGCTCGATCGCTATTCACTCTCTGGCGGTTTTGCAGGAACACCAAGGAAAGCAGGTGGGGAGCACACTCATGAAGTCGTATATCCAAAGAATTCGGGAGGCAGCCATCGCGGACCGCATTGTGATTATCGCCCACGACAACCTCATTCCATTCTACGAGGGTCTGGGATTCGAGAACCGAGGCCTGAGCAAATGCCAATTCGGTGGCGGTGGCTGGACAGATATGGTGGGTTTGCTTGCGCGAGATTTCTTAGAATTGCTGCTAACTTTGTTCAGGCGCTGGAGCTCAACACGGAGTGAGCTGGTCTGCGAGATATTTTCGCAGCTTTACTTCTGCTACGAATATTTTTCTGTGGCTTTTGATTAGCATACGCTTCTCTTATCCCCTCTTTTCCTTCTGTATTCATTCCCATCGATGCATATTCATGGATTATGTCTGGTCTCAAGTGGTCGGCTTCGAAAAGCAATGGAGTTCTAGGGTATGATGATACGATCTGCTATGATATGATGACCGGGTTGGTTTGGTCAGGGCAGGCTCAGTGTTTAACATAGATACCTCGGTAGTCAATGTATTCTAGCACTCGACTTGGACATGACTGTAGATTTAGACTTGGACGGAGTAGCAGTCACTAGCAGAAGCAAGCCGGCGATAAGAGACCAGCTTGCTCCGAAACATCATTGGCCGAAACTCGGTTAGAGACTGCAGAATCCCCCACATTCGCTCACCGCCCGCCAAAAATTCTGCCTCGACCGCCTCCATAATAATTTTTTTATCGATCAGGCTGTTTACCATCGCCCTCATCGCATTTCGGGTTACCTTATCAAAGTCATTTTTTGATCGACCGAGGTGCCCATCATGAAGACTACGTGGAAAGATGTACAGATTTCACCCCCGTCGCCACCCGTTCGAAACCTCCATACTGACGTTTTCACCGCTTGATAGATCCCTCCGGTGCCCACCAGCCAGGAATTTCTGGATATCGTCCTCAGTCGTACACAGCGACAGCTGCCCACTCAGATCCGTGCGGGCTTCAAGATCAGCCGTATTCGAGGTACTTCGCGACTATGAGTCTCGGCGTTGGACGCTTTGATGGCTAATCCAAAATCTCTAGGTTTCTACACCCGAAAGGTCAAGTACACCCAAGAGACATTCGGTGAGAAATTCCAGGCAATTTTGGATGGATTCCCTAGATTGCAGGACATCCACCCTTTCCGTGAGTCTTCGTCTACTCCATCAGGCATGGACCTGTCTCACAACCGATAGACAAGGATTTGATGAACACACTCTACGATGCCGATCATTTCAGAATCGCCCTCGGTCAAGTGTCAACCGCTAAGCACCTGATCGAAACCGTGTCCCGCGACTACGTCCGTCTCATCAAATATGCTCAGTCTCTGTTCCAGTGCAAGCAGCTCAAGCGCGCCGCCCTCGGTCGTATGGCCACCATTTGCCGACGCCTCAAGGATCCCCTCGTTTATCTGGAGCAAGTCCGACAACATTTGGGTCGTCTGCCCTCAATTGACCCCAACACCCGAACCCTTCTGATTTGCGGTTATCCTAATGTCGGAAAGTCCAGTTTCCTGCGCAGCATCACCCGCGCGGACGTTGATGTCCAGCCCTACGCTTTCACGACCAAGAGTTTGTTTGTCGGTCACTTCGACTACAAGTACCTCCGATTCCAAGCCATCGATACCCCCGGTATTCTCGACCACCCTCTTGAAGAGATGAACACCATCGAAATGCAGTCCATCACCGCCATTGCGCACTTGCGGTCCGCCGTGATGTACTTCATGGATCTCTCCGAGCAGTGCGGCTACTCCGTTGCCGACCAGATTAAGCTTTTCCACAGTATCCGACCTCTGTTTGCCAACAAGATCGTTTTCATTGTGGTGAACAAGATTGATGTCCGACGGCCGGAAGATCTTGAGCCTGAGCTCCAAGAGCAGATGCAGGGCATGCTAAAGTCAGGAGACGTTGAGCTCCTGCAGCTGTCTTGCACCACCACCGAGGGTGTGACCAACGTGAAGAACGCGGCCTGCGATAAGCTGCTGGCGGAGCGAGTGGCGCAGAAACTCAAGTCTGGAACCAACAGCATTGGTACCCCTGGTGGCCGACTTGGCGACGTCCTTGCGCGTATCCACGTCGCTCAGCCCATGGGCGGAGCGCAACTCGAAACATTCATTCCCGACGCCATCAAAAACCTCAAGAAATACGACAAGAACGACCCCAACCGAAAGAAGCTGGAGCGGGACATCGAAGAGGAGAACGGCGGTGCTGGTGTTTACAACATCGATCTCAAGAAGACCTACACGCTCGCCAACGACGAATGGAAGCACGACAAGATCCCCGAAGTGTGGAACGGCAAGAACATTTACGATTACGTGGACCCTGATATCGAGGCCAGGCTCGCCGCTCTGGAGGAAGAGGAGGAGAAGCTCGAGGCCGACGGCTACTACGACTCGGACGAGAGCGTCGAGGACGCCGAAGATGCCGATACCCGCATGAAGGCAGACTTGATCCGCGAGAAGCGCGTTCTCATGAAGAACGAGGCCAAGCTTCGCAAGTCGCTCAAGAACCGCGCGGCCATTCCCCGTAGCGCCAAGGCCAAGAAGCTCTCCCAGATGGAGGCTGGCCTGGATGCGGCCGGCTACGACGGCGATGCTGCTCTCGATCGCGTCCGTTCTCAGAGCCAGGCCCGTGGCCGCCCATTGACGCGCGATGCCCACGGCGACGACGCAATGGACATCGACCCCTCCGACCCCCGCCAGGCCATCGCCCGCGCCAAGAGCCGCGCTCGCAGCCAGGCTGCTACAGACCGTCTGCAGGATGGTGTTACCGACGAGGCGGCCCGATCCAAGGCCGAGCGTCTGAAGAAGCTCGGTCAGAAGAAGATGAACCGCATGGCCAGACAGGGAGAAGCCGATCGACACCAGACCGTGTCTCTCACGAAGCACTTGGTACGTTCCACTTTCACCCAGATTTCTAAATATCCAACCTCCACTAACATTATCGCCAGGTTGCCGGCAAACGTGGCATGGGCAAGACGCAACGTCGTTAAGCTCTTGTCGTTCTTTTCGTCCTATCTTGCTTGCCGCTACGATACCGATGCTCCGTTTCCTCCTAATACTTTTCCCTCCGTAGTCCAGTCCTCATCCTACATACTCGTTATGATCATGGTGTCTAAAAATCACACGGCGTTTGGAAGGCTTGTTTTGTGTTATCTTCATCTTCGTCTTTGTCTTCGTCTTGATATGATATCTTGTGCGCGTCTTATACATAGTTCTATTCAGGCTTATGAGAACGAGAACTTAGACGGCTATCAATGGATAGAATCATTCCTTACCCGGTTTCTTTTAATTATTTGAGTTGTCTTGCCTATTTTCTAGTCAGCATCTGTCCACACTTAAGCTACCCCATGGTTTGGCACATCCATGGGTTGGTCCGCCTCCCGCCCAGGCACGAACTCTATATCCCGGCGTTTCACGCCCGCCCCAATAGGACACGTCAAAGGGTCTGAGATTGCAACAAATCGCCAAAATCCGCTTTGGTAGCCCTGGCCACTCCCGACGCGACGTTTGAACGACGGGTCGTGTTTGGGTTTACTGCACGTGGTGGTAAACTTAGCGTTCGGAAGTGATGTCCGGATTCCGGAGAGCATAAAGAAAGTATATTATGGCAAGCTTTGATATTGTTCTTGATGAGACAGAGCGGACGAAATTTCGGGTATTGAAAGAGCTAGGTTATTAGGTAAAGCTTGTGCCGAACGAGGGAATAAGTGCCTACAGAATAAAAGGTGCCCCGATGTAGAGAAATATATTGTTTGGGACACACTCCCATAAGCGAGATGCTTGTTCGTAAATCATGATCATAGATACAGCGGTTCAGCTGTGCTCTCACTGCAAATACTATCCAGGACGTATCACATCACATCCCACTTCAATTCCGAGAACGTAGGTAAGCGCCCAGCTAATGAATCTCACTTTCCTCCTCATGGACAACCCTGGTTCCCGGCTTTGCATCGGGATCCACATCCTCCGCATCGATAACCCTATCACCGAAAGAGGCGGCGATTTCTTCAAGTGTCTTCATCTTTGTTTCACTGCAGCCGGAGGGAGAGAGATCATTAGTTTTGGAGGGTTACTTCAACCAGAGAAAGAGGAGACATACGGGAAGTAGAAATAAGCCACGACGAGGAAGAACAGCGTGCAGCCAACAAAGACGTAGTAGTAGTTTTCGTGGATGTTGGCGAATGCGCTGGGGCCGGCTTCGGTGACTGGTTTCCGTCTCGTCAGTATCGGTAGGCACACGATAGTCAGAAGGGACTCTGGAGAGGGGACGTACTGGCGACGTTGACGATGAAGTGCGAGGCTGCGGCTAATCCCATGATTTTGCTGCGGAGGGCAATGGGGAGGACTTCGGCGCCGTAGAGCCAGGTTGTGCTGTTGAGCATGCCGTCTAGAGGGGGGGATGTTAGCCGGTTCGGCGCAAACCATTAGAGAGGTATCGTTGGTGGATGACATACAGTAGATCACCACGAAGAGATAGATTCCGAGAATGGCGAACCCTTTGCCGACTCGGTTATCTGTGTTCTGGAATTCTCGCTGCATGACGGCGGCGTAGATCTCGACAAGGATGATGCCGCCCAAACCGGTGAGAATCATCCTGCAACTGGTCAGTATGAGACGGCTCAAATGTAGAGAGAACTGCGCACTTTCGGCGACCCCATTGATCGGTTAGATACTTCGTGGTGAGCGCATTTGTGACGAATGCCACAGTACCGTAGACTGCTGCTAGGGCAAGAATGGTGTGGGCGTCAATGCCGAGGGACTTGTAGAGGATTGCTTTTGAGGGTTAGTATAGGACAAGGTCGTAGCTAGATTAGGCTTACTTTGATAGTACTAAGAAGCAGTTAGTATCGTACTTTAGGTAGACGGGAGTAGAAGGCATACCTGAATCACGTTGACTCCAGTAAGACTGGTCATGGTTTGCACAGCGATTGACCTAGTCCATGTCAGACGTAATATCAGATCTTAAGGAAAGGATAATACCTACACCATCGCACGGTGTCTGAATAATTTGAAGATCTCTTTGTAGGAGGTAATCTCTCGTTCCTTCTCGTACTCAATTTGGGCCAGCATTTGCGCAAACTCCTGGCGCAGCTCATGCGAATTGAGGTCTCGGCGGATCCGGCTGAACTCGTTGCGTGCGGCTTCCACCTTGCCCGCTCGAACGAGGTGGCGCGGTGAGTTTGGCATGAAGGTGACCAATCCGCAGAACATGATGATGCCCCAGGGTATCTGGATAGCCAGAGGAAGACGCCACTGCACCGCCCCATACGGAGCCCAGCTGCAGGCATATCCAACCCAGTTCGAAGCCATGGTGCCGAATGCGATTCCACAACCCGAGATTCCTCCGATTAGACCGCGATACCGAGGGTCTGAAATCTCGCTTAGATAAATGGGAACGGTACCGACCATGCCACTATTTGTGCGTCAGTGTGCCTTCCATGTTTGAATTCTCCCGTCCTTGTATGGACTCACCCAACAGCGACCCCAGCCAACGCACGCCCAGCGAGGAACATCCCGATATTGACGGACGCTGTCTGAATTGTCGTTCCTATTGTGACGATCACACACATCAACTCCATGAAGCGAAGACGACCTAGTTTATCGGCAACGGCGGTCTGAATGAGGGCTCCGACAGCTTCACCAGCGATGTACACAGCGACGACCTGCATTGATTAGTCGTACTCCAAGCCGGCTTGAATCAACATACAGCGCCGGTAAGGCCCTCTGAGGGGTGCTTCATGTACTCAATCCAGCTTTCATGGGCAATCGCTAATCAGGTATCAGTGTTGATCTCGACCCTGGGGGCATATTGTAGACTTACTGGTGGTGGCGATCCCAGTATCGAAACCCTAAGCCCCAGTCAGTACGTCAAGTACCCGGTTAGACTTGAAAGCCTTACAAAGAGAAAAGTACCGATCGCAGCAAAAAGCGCGACTCCTAAAGCGTACCAGCCGACCATCTTGAGATTCTTGACCAGTGAAGCTCAGACCTCGAAGTAGCTGGAAGCGGAGACAACGCTTTACGCGGAGAGCGGGAACTTCTGCATATATATGCATATTGCAATCGACGGCCAAAGGTATCAGCGGATCATTTCCGAGCCTGATTCGCGTAGGTCCGTGTAACAAGAGATGGCCCCTCGGGGTATGGCCGATGGCAAGAAACCTGGAGAAGCTGGGGAAGTGGGGAAGAGAGAGGGTCATGATTCATGGAAGTCGGTGGACAATAGCCCGGCCTCCAACTAATCGATGGACGTACTCGTGTGCTGAAAGGATTGGTTTATTTGAAGAGTTCTCCAAGAGCCATCATGAACTCAAATCTTCTTCCCAGCCGGGAAGAGCGAGACATCGAGGCTATAGACCGAGGGTAAGCACAAAGATCCTGGAGGCGACATCGTGCTAACCATGCGTCCACGCGGCATGGTAGATGGTGTGGGAGAGTATTTGAGCCTTAAACAGGGCTAGACAAGCTGAAAGTAACTCTTGAGAGCCCATGAGAAGAGGATTCCCGGTCGGTACCGTATGTTTGTGTTGATAGCCGGACAATGATCAAATGCGGGGGAACTGCGATTTTTCATGCCAGCCAATGGAGCATAATGCAGTCGGACACTGTCCGAGAGCTTAACTGACACATGCCGACACTTTGCGCTCCATCCTGCATGACATAACTAGACAAATTGACGCCGCAGACATGTGTTGATGAATGGAGAGTACAAGGACCAACACCTTAATAACAAGGCATCAACAGACTGCGGCTTAGGCAGCCAAATGCCAAACTTGGAATAGCGCCTCGCGTAAACGACACTAGTGCTAGCTCGCCACTAGCGTTCTGCTCCCAGCTATAAAAGCTTCTGCTTTCCGCCGCCATTTACTCCTTTTTCTTTTCTTTTCCAGCTCTCTTTGCCTTTTGGCTTAGATCAAGTGTAGTATCTGTTCTTTTCAGTTTAATCTCTGAAAGTGTTCTAAGGAACACAACATTGATTATTCTTATTTTTGGATTTCGTGGCAGGGCCTCTGTGCTTGCGCATGTCTTGCCACACAGTGTCATTGGGCTTACACTACCCCCAATTGACGCGAACCCTTTTCATCACTCTGGCCGGCTTGTCCGACCGCTTGGAGAAGAGCTTTCGTGTCTTGGCCTCTGTCATTTTACTATCTTCTGTGTCGTCGACTGCTTGTCCTTGTGTAGCATTTGTATCGTGCTCATGAAAACGAAACCTGAAGACTCTTCTACAATAAACAAATACCTTTTCCACTCCACGTCTTGTTGCTTGCTAAATCGTATCCATCTGCTCAGTTATTCCATAGTTTACAGTCCAAGATACGCATCCCGCTGCGTCAAGATCCATGCGAGACTGCCCGACGCGGTTATCAACGGGAACACAAACCGCCCCTTGAGCTGTGCGCTCCCGTATACCAGCCACTCCAAAACGAAATGTACCAGGGCGATTCCAAATGTCCATGCCGCAAGGTCGTATACCGCAGGGTTCGTGATGTTGTAGGCAGCGGATAAGCGAATGACGGAAGAGAGGAAAGTCCAGGTACCGAAGATTCGGGAGGAGTGCGGGTTGGTGTGCGAACTACCATCGGCTAGGCGACCATTGTAGAGCTCGGAGGTATAGGATTTGGAGATGTAAGCTTGAACGCTGTTCGCTGCGGAGACGACAGAGACCTAGCATTGTTAGCTGCTTGACTTGAGCGCAGTGAGAGGTTGCCGCTTACCAGGGCAAGCCACTTGGGTAGAAGACCATCAAATGGCGGAAGGTATGACAGAATCTGATCCATGTTGGCGGATGTGATGATTGTGGGAACTTGGTGATTGAGCAACGTCCGTTTGCAGAACTGGAAACCTTGGTGTTGAGCTCTCCTTTTCCCCAGTTGAAGCTTTGATTGTTGAGTCCCGATCTGGTATAGTGTGGGACCCCGTGATCCGGAGATTAGGCAATTATTGGCTTACAAGTTTCCCCAACGATTGGGAACTCGGCAGCTCAGGACATCGCGCATCGCTTGCTCTACAGACCGACAGGACATTGCTCGCCATGGAATTCTTGAAGAACGTCTCGTTGTCGCTGTCGGACTGGGAGTACAACTTTGCTCCAGGCTGGCAGAGCGTGGCGGCTTCGGTGCTGCTCGCGGCTGGAGGTTGGTTTGTTGTCTCCCGAGTTTGGACCTTCCTCAGGGTCCTGACCAGTCTGTTCGTTCTTCCCGGAAAGTCGGTACGTTGAAATTGGCATACTCTAGTGGTTCCAGATCAGTACTGATGATCACAGCTCCGCTCATTCGGCCCTAAGGGTAGCTGGGCGATTGTTACAGGCGCCTCGGATGGCCTGGGCAAGGAATTCGCCCTCCAGATCGCTCGCGCCGGATACAACATCGTCCTCGTCTCCCGAACAGCCTCCAAGCTGACCGCTCTGTCCGATGAGATTACATCCAAATACCCATCGGTGCAGACCAAGACCCTGGCCATGGACTTTGCTCGCAACGACGATGAGGACTACGAGAAGCTGAAGGCTCTAGTGGGAGATCTGGATGTAGCTATTTTGATCAACAACGTCGGAAAGAGCCACAGCATTCCTGTTCCCTTCGCTCTTACTCCTGAGGATGAGATGGCGGACATCATCACCATCAACTGCACGGGTACTTTGCGGGTTACACAGCTGGTCGTCCCTGGCATGACCCAGCGCAAGCGAGGATTGATTCTGACCATGGGCTCTTTCGGCGGTCTCCTTCCCTCTCCTCTTCTTGCTACCTACTCCGGCAGCAAGGCGTTCCTGCAGCAGTGGTCCAGCTCTCTTGGCTCAGAACTCCAGCCATACGGAGTCACCGTTGAGCTGGTGCAGGCATATCTCATCACCTCTGCCATGTCCAAGATCCGCAAGACCAGTGCCTTGATCCCCAACCCGCGCGCGTTCGTTAAGGCGACTCTGTCCAAGATTGGCAACAACGGCGGTTCACCCGGGTATGCGTACAGCTCTTCCCCGTACTGGAGTCACGGATTGGTGGCATACCTTGCGACATGCGTAGCCAACCCCATGAGCATGCGAATTGCGAACCAGATCAAGGGCATGCATGAGTCGATTCGCAAGCGGGCCCTGCGCAAGGCGGAGCGTGAGAATGCGAAGAAGAGCTCTTGAGTGTGAAGACATCGTCATTGTCCTCTCAAGGTTTGGCCAAGGTCATGTTGTGTTTGTCTGAAGCAAGGCAAACCAAGGAAAACAACATGCGAAAAACGTATGAGAATTAATTCGAGACGTTACGTCAGTGATGAATCTCATGATGGATGCAGTTTTTGAGCATGGACCCAGTCTGAAACGGTGAAGCAAGCGTTATGGTATGATTATTCTGATTTGACACTTGAAGAAAGATGAGACAGCATTGTATTAAAGTGATAATCATCTCCTGATGCATTTCCTGGCTAGTATGAGTATGGAGTACTGTCACTACCGTGACATCGAGGCCGCGAGTCCAACGGCAAATCACAACAATCCACGATGCTTTGCTGATCATGTTTGACACCAGAATCAGATGCTACGTAGTTATACGACGCTCCAAGTCTCAGCAACATGAATCGGGTCTACCATCTGAATTGACTGACATGACACGATTATACCTGGTGAACCAATCACATCAAAAAGCCCTCGAGGCGCAGATGCCGCGCATCCAGAACTTGCCGTCTCCTGTCAAGTCCTAAAGAAGAAAGTTGACCGGACAGCATGCACCATGGTAACGTAATAGAATGCTCGCCTATAACATGGCCTGAGCCTAGATTCCGTAAACAATCCCGTAAACATGCCGAAGCCGTAAATTATCGGCCCGGATTTGATAGTACGGCTACGGCGCCCCTTTCGGCCTCCGAAGCCAAGGCCCAAGCCTCGATATCGCAGCATCGCTTCTATACAGAATCTCTCGGCCATAATCATACTTTCTCTTCTAGGACAAACTGCTACACTTGGCGATTCTTGTGCGTTCTTGGACTGCGTATGCCAGCGATAATCTTTATCAATCTCTGCCTCTGCCATGCCATGCCCGTAACGTACATGATCATCGGATGTAAACTCCGACGTGATTCCACGATGGACCCAGCTGTGCCTTGCACGGTTTTCACCGAGACCTAAAGCGACTAGCTTGGTGGGCCATGGAACGAGATCAGCGAGCGGTTCCGGCCAAGGCTTGGTTGAGGTAATTTGGACGCTGATTCAGTCCAGGATCGATAAGAGTTGGAAGAGTATCTCGGTCTTTGACCTCGCTGGTTGCTTGTATTCAGAGTATCAACAGCTGAGAGCAGTCTCTATAGCAAAGACAGTCAAGTGAACACCACCTGTATTCAATTCCAGAGCCAAGACGAGTCTCATGAAAGGGCAATCTCTTTGAGTGGCCCGAGACAAGAACACCAAGATTGGCGCCAAGTGGAACTGGCCCACTAATCGGTGAGTTTTCTGAGCGAGTGCAGAATTTTCCCATCCGAATCGGCACACCGAGGCCGGTTTTGCGTGGATCCCGAGTCGTTCGGCGTGCCGAGTTGGTCGGCTCGGGACCTCACCGCACCACCAAAGCCGTATCAATTATCGGGGAGCTGCAATCCGTCCTCCAACCTGCAAAGTATATTAACCTTGGAGGACGCTGCTTTGCGCGGGCTTGGTTTGCAACAGATTCCAGCCTCTGTCCTGCTCAGTTGAGCCAACTTCTCCTGTGTTCGTGATCGCCAGGAGAAAATTCTTCTTGCGGTCCACAGAGTGCGGATCAGCCGAATCCGTGATAATTCTCGGTCGAATCCACATTTAGAAACTCGTCGCGATGCCTGGGCGCCATGAAAACAGAAACCAAACCGTAATCATAGTCCAGCCCAGGCCGTAGTGGTAAATTGCCGCAGATTTGCCGTCGAATCGCCGTCGAATCACCGTCGTCCAGCCCGAATACGCCCTCGCCTGTGGGAATCCCCAGCGCTGAGAGAGTAAGGTAGTGCGAGGGCGCCAGGGCCCAGGTCCGCATAGACAGACGGAGGCGTCTGTCACCAGGAAAGCGCGACACGGTCAGCTGATGGCTCGCGGTTTTCGCATCCCCATCGGGAAGAGTTTGAAGCCAGCATCGTCATCGCCTCTCCCATACTCCCACACTCAGGCACTCACCCCCTTCCCCACCCTTCCCCCCACCGAATCTCCAGGGAAGCCTCAGAGAATTCTAGTCATCTGCCGAACCACACGCCTGCTTCCMCTTTCGAGTGCTCTGGCGCCCGCAAAGATCCGGGCCCCCGTCCGTTTTTCCCGTGGGTTCCCCAATCTTGGGCTGGTAGCCGATTGCCGTTGCGCGCTGGCTGCGTTCATTCGCCCACTTGCCCCCCGGAGGCGTTACAGAGTAGGCAGTGTCGACGAGAATTAATTGTCTCGCTAAATCGGTTGTCCGGGTTGACGTCGTGTCTCGTGTTGTCTTGTCAAACCTCGTCCCTGTATTCCCCGGGCTCCTACTCCGTATCTCCATATATAATCCCCCGACGCCCTCCCCCGTCCCAGATTTTCTCCTTGCGTCTCCTCCCTCTTTCATTCCTCCCTTCACCCTTCACCCTTCTCACAACACATCAAGTGGGAATACCTTCATCATGGGTGTCGATCTCAAGGGCCTCTTCAAGCCCAAGGCTGAGCAGCAAGAGCACTCCCAGGCCACCACGCCTTCAAGATCCGACTCGACTGCGGAGAAGGACAATGGCATCATCGACGACAGCCCCGTCAAGTACCTGACATGGCGATCATTCATCCTGGGTGTCGTCGTGTCGATGGGTGGTTTCATCTTCGGTTACTCTACTGGTTCGTCTTCTCCGCATCTCCTGTGGTGTTACTCCCTCTGACTGGTCTTTGTATAGGTCAAATCTCCGGTTTCACCACTATGGAAGACTTCAAGATGCGTTTCGCTGAACGCCAGTCTAACGGCGAATACACCTTCAGCAACGTCCGCAACGGTCTGATCGTCGGTCTGCTCTGTATCGGAACCATGATCGGCGCCCTCGTCGCTGCTCCCATTGCAGACCGCATTGGCCGCAAGTTCTCTCTGTCCTTCTGGTCCATCATCCACATGGTCGGCATCATCATCCAGATCGCCACCGACTCCAACTGGGTCCAGATCGCCATGGGCCGTTGGGTCGCCGGTCTCGGTGTCGGTGCCCTTTCCAGCGTCGTCCCCATGTACCAGTCCGAAGCTGCCCCCCGCCAGGTCCGTGGTGCCATGGTCTCGGCTTTCCAGCTGTTCGTCGCCTTCGGCATCTTCATCTCCTACATCATCAACTACGGCACTGAGTCCATCAAGTCCACTGCCTCGTGGCGAATCGTCATGGGCATCGGCTTCGCCTGGCCTCTGATTCTCGGTCTCGGTGCTCTTTTCCTTCCCGAGTCCCCCCGTTACGCATACCGTCTCGGCCGCGTCGACGAGGCCCGCAATGTCATGGCCAAGCTGTACGGCGTTGAGCCCAACCACCGCGTTGTCGTCCAGGAAATGAAGGACATGAAGGACAAGCTTGAGGAGGAGCGCGCCGCCGGCGTTGCTCCCTGGCACGAGGTCATTACTGGCCCCCGCATGCTCTACCGTACTTGCCTCGGTATTGCTCTGCAGTCCCTGCAGCAGCTGTCCGGCGCCAACTTCATCTTCTACTACGGAAACTCTATCTTCACCTCCACCGGTCTCAACAACTCTTACGTCACCCAGATCATTCTCGGCGCCGTCAACTTCGGCATGACCCTGCCCGGTCTCTATATCGTCGAGCACTTCGGTCGTCGCGCTAGTCTGATGGTCGGCGGTGCCTGGATGGCCATCTGCTTCTACATCTGGGCATCGGTCGGCCACTTCGCCCTCGACCAGGCCAACCCTCAGAACACCCCCAAAGCCGGCAGCGCCATGATCGTCTTCACCTGCTTCTTCATCGCCGGCTTCGCCACAACCTGGGGCCCCATCGTCTGGTCCATCTGCTCGGAGATGTACCCCAACCGCAGCCGCGCCACCAGCATCGGCATCGCCACCTGCGCCAACTGGACCTGGAACTTCCTGATCTCCTTCTTCACCCCCTTCATCTCCTCCTCCATCGACTTCGCCTACGGCTACGTCTTTGCCTCGTGCTGCGTCGTCGGCGTCCTCGTCGTCTTCTTCTTCGTCAACGAGACCCAGGGCCGCACCCTCGAGGAGGTCGACACCATGTACGTCCTCCACGTCATCCCCTGGAAGTCCGCTTCCTGGGTCCCCGACGAGAGCATCGTCCGTGACCTCCACCCTGGCTCCGACGTCAACAAGACCGAAGGCCATGGGCAGGCCGAGCACGGCGAGGAGAGCAGGCCTGAGCCTCTTGAGATTCGGGAGTAGATGTCTTACATCTTACATATATATGAAATCGAAGCAAAGCTTCTTTCCATGTATGGTATGATATGATGCCTGATCTCGCTCATGAAGAGATGGTGTGAAGACGGAAGAAAGAAATAATTGCACATAGACTTGCATTCTGGGGTTTAGGTTTGGCTTTGGCTTTTTTTCTTGGGTCTGTATTTGTATATCTATATCGCGTTCTGCATATACGTATGCATATGTTTTTATGCTTTGCATTGGGTTGGATAGATTAGATGATGGACTTGACTACGTACTCGGTCCTCATATTCAGAATAAGAATATCAGTGTTGATTCACTACTCTACTTTTATATCTGTGTTTATCCTTGTACATCGAAGTAAATAAGATGACAAAAGAAATAAGCGGTTGTCTTGTTGAGTCTTAAGACTTTCTGTCCATGTAGAAGAAGACCCTCTTCTCAATGTGATGGCAAACAGTAATCAGCATAAGAAATATGTAATGAACGCAGCCCCTTAACAAAGACTTCTTTTCCTCCATACGGACCAGAGCACTCTCCTGCTCCTTCTGATACTCCACAGATACACTGAGGTACGGACGTGGACGTGGACGTGGACAGGGTCATAAGCACCTTCGCTCCAACCCAGCTACTAAATAAGCGCCATGTCCGCCGCTCATTAAACTGTAATGTTCGAGCGACAGAAAAGCGTCAGCTTTGCTTCTGTCCTATTTCCACTAGTCGATGCCTCCCTGGCGCGGCCAACGCGGACGTACCCAGCCCCGGAAAAGCAGCATGGCGATAGGAAGTGCTTGAAGCCGTCTCTTCTCTTCCGTTTTCCAGAAGCAGTCAGGTGTCAGGGCTTGGGCCATAGACATAGACACGCAGGTCATACTGCCCAGCCTTCTCCCCTCGGCAAGGAGCGACTGACGTGGCCTGGGCGCCGCCCAAGCTTGAATCAAGGTAATTGGGCTTTCTATGTAGATTGGTGCTGCACCACGTAGAACACGTATGCATGCCGTTCTCGACAATAAATAGACGATCACACATCAACCCACAAACTGCGCCGAAGTCGGCGAAGGCGACAGCAAGAGGAAAAGACAATCCCACCCATCCCAAGGCACGGAGGACGGCGAGAGCCAATTCTGCGGCTGCAGCCGGGCGAGCAGAGACTCCGTGAAGAACTCCATGGGCGAGTGGGGGAAGCCCGAGCTTCCTGTTGGTGTTGTGGGTGTCAGGAGACCGCCGTTCATGCTTGGGGTCATGGTCATGGTCATGGTCATGTTTGGGTGCGGGCTTGGGTCAACTGGCGATGGCGACATTATGTGCTGCTGCTGCTGCTGCTGCTGCGGTTGGACTTGAGGTTGAGGTTGTCGGTATTGAGGGGTGTTTGAGCATGCGGCGTCACTGTTGCGGTATGTGTTAGGGTATGCTATAAACTCAAGCGGATTGGAAATCACTTACATTATCTGGCGAAGGACAGGAACGGCCTTGCTGCAGAAGGTACTCCTGTTGGATAGGGCTGCGAAAACATCGAGCGATTTCCAGAGGAGCTCTTTGATTTCGGCCGCCTCGTGCGCGCTCTCTGGGTACATTAGCATGACGCAGAGAATGACAGCCGCGTGGAAGGCGTGGAAGCTGCCCTGGTTGCTGTTGTACCACTTGTAGGACGCAAACTGGGGCGATTCGTGGAGGGTTTGATGGATAGTCAAGGACGTCTTTGCGGACGCCAGGCATTTGACACGGGCGGCGCAGGTTTCTGTCGTGACATCGCCTTGGAGATATCGGCAAAGCGCGGGGCGGAGCAGAAGGAGGAGGAGCTGGTGGATGTAGCTGTAGAGGATGTTCAGGTTGGCAAGATGGTGGACAGGAGGGGGCTCGAGGGCCGGCTCGAGCTGGTAGCGTTTTTCGCACATTTCGTGTACGGAGAGAATCTCGACTTCTAGCTGCGCCGGCGTGTACCGGGGTGGAAAGCTGAAGAGACTCTCGCATATCATGGACGAGACGTTGTAGAGACGGTATTGCAGCAGGAGATAGGTCATTTGGGTTGGCCGAGGCGTGCTGAGCTCAGAGGCTGTGCCGGTTAGGAGGTCCACGTCATTTACGTCCAAGGGGAGCTTTGTGCCCATTGTTGCCAGGCCGGGATTTAGAATGCCGTATGCATTGTTATGGGTGTTATATAGCATAGTTAGTCCTGCCCATGCTCGACGCCGCTCCTCCCGTTCTATTGGTCCGAGAGCAAACCGTTCTGGGTCGACGTGACAACCCATTGAGGTGGCAACGTGGTGAGTCAGGCCTAGCAGTGTCCAAGTTGGTAGTCCTCTATGGAGTCGTGCGTAGTTGATCAGAATAAGAGACTGGAGGGAGTTGATGGAATGCCGAGAAAGAATACCGTCCGCTGATAGGCACCGCAAAGAAGCAGACCGATAACGCGATGATAGGGCTTTGACGTTGCGGATGACGGTCCTCTCCCGCCCAAGATCGGAGAGCAGGGGATCGTCGTCGTGGAGAGCAGTGACGGCAATGCCGAGGATGATGAACAAAAGAGAAATCCATGCAGTGGAAACGCTGTTTGGGTCGTGACAGAACTGTTGGTATTCGGCTTCAAATGTTAGATCGTGAAGGATGTGGAATAGCTATGTATGTCAGCATTTACCATGGCCAGGCAGAGGAGTGAGAACATACAGGAGAGAATACACGGAAGTAAACATCCTTCAGTGCATCGCAATATCGACTCGGTGGTAGTATGGCGAGTAACTCTTCCCTCGAAGTGGCACCCCCGGCCAAAGGGATACAATCGTCGTCATCGCCCGGAATCTCTGAATTGATATCGGGGAGAGAATCGCCAGAAGAACTTGTGGAATGCATCGAGTTCCATTGCGACGCCAATGGCTGGTACCGTACATATCCCGACGCAAAATTTTGCAGAGTCCCAGCGCTATTCAACACAGAGCTTCCGGGAAATGATGTAGGCCCAAGCCCAGTTGGACTGTCCAGTTCAGAAAAGCTCCCCGTCAGGCTAGTAGGTGATACAAGTGGTGAGTTTGAACTGCTTGAACGTGAACCAACTTGTCTTTGGAGCAAGTCCTCTAGGTTGCGTATTCTAGCCAGTAACTCGGCCTGAACAACAGCATCTCCAGCCGAAGGGCTCTCTGATGACAATCTCGGTTGGCCAAGATATACGCAGTCTTCCGCGCCCAGTCCCCGCCGGACGCAGGTTTGGCAGGGGCGTCCATCACGAGAGCAACGAATCTTTCTCGTTCGACAGGCCTGACAGCTGATTGGAAGTCGCTTGCCGGTTGGACGAGAAGAAGGGGTCATGGCGTCGTGCAACGTTTCTGGGAATTGCAGGTTTAGCAAAGAGGAGAGAAGCTGTCGGGTGTAGGGGTAAGATAGAAGTTGAAAAGGCTCGGCACGTATCGTGACTTCAATTGATGTTGGAAACTATATAGGGGATCTCCAGTGGGGGACAGTGATGCTCTTTTAACCTTGATCCATGGGGACTGACGGGAGCTGCTTCAACATTAGCATTTATGTTTTAGTCAACAGAGCCCCGGTAGATGTCCAGCTATTCTCAAGATCAGGTAGTACGTTGGGTCATGAGATTTGAAATTGTTTCCTAATTCAGCAGACTGGGCCACCAGTGTAGACAGTTCTGAGCATGTAAGAACTGCATAGTGGACGTATAGCACGATGATCTGCATGTCTCGCTTGCATTAGTGAGTAAATGCTTCTCGAATGCTACTGCATCCGTTGATCCGCTAGATCCCACGTTGCCTGCCATCTTCCCACGCGAAAAGGACACGGGACGGCATGGCAAACTATTGGCGACGGCTTCGATCACCAACCAATGTGGCGTGAGGTTCCGGACCCCTGGGTCCTATAAAATGTCTTCCGACTCCCTAGCAAGGATAAACTTTGAGGCTACATCGTGCGGCCGTGCCGCATGCCAATAACAATGGTCATTGAGATGGGGCATAAGAGGTCAAAACGCTGACGATCTCTCCCTGTAATTATAAGAGTTGGAATCAGCAGGTGAATTGCTTCCCATGAACGGTCAGACCTGAGCCAGTCCTTCGGCCCGGGAAGGATCCTTGAATTAGAGATGCCAGCTATGTCAGAATAACTGTGGAGTATCAAAGAATTATGATCCTATACATGGCATTTCAGCTGTTAAGACTGGAAGACTCGGAGTTTTGGATGGCAAAGTGGCACATTCGCCCATGATCCATTGTTTCATCCCTGAGGCGAATGATTTGGAACCAGTCAAAGGGATCGGGATCTGGAGATCCCACGACAAAGTACCCCAAGTATGGCAACTCGCTGTTCTCCGCTGAAACTGTCAGATCTTATGACACTTTCAGTCCTTTTAAGCGGCTGTGGGGCGGCCGCCGAGATGCCGAGGCGAAGCCCAAACCACTTTGAGGAAGAGAAGCACCAAAGAAAGCATTCACGACAGCCTTCAGGCTCCAGCTTTCTGAGTGATCTGCGGAGTCATCTGGCAGACTGGTGCGACCGATGTTAGTTCCTGGATCAAGCGTCGGCCGTCCGAGTGCTGAGGCGACAAAAGTGCTGTTCCGCCGGCCGAGTCGTGGTCCGTGGAAGACTCGATGATGACAGATTCTAGAAGGGCAATCGAAGGGAAGCGAAGCCAGTGCACGAGACTGATTGGCAGATTGCTGACATGAGAGCAAGCAGATTGGGTGCATTGCGCGTGATCTTCGCCCCTCTGACGCATGCCAGGCAAACCATTGTCTGCTAGCGCATCGGGAATGCAGGACAAAGTATGTACTTCTGCAGGTTCCCCATAATTTATAATCCTGCCATGGACCGGCACAATGTAAGCCAACTATGGGAATTAGAGTTGGACCAAGGTTTGTTGAATTGACCAACCGTCATCCTCGGGGATCAAATCAGGAGGCGAGAGAAGCGAGACAGTGATTTAGCAAAGAGGCCTGAACGCAAAGAGCCCCATGTCTCAGGAGTACGGAGTACCCCAATCCATTGTTCACCATATTCTTCCTCGCAAACGCGTGTCGATGGACCGTGGTCGGACAATAATCCTTGGGGGAAGTGTACTCCGGAAGTTCCCCAGGGAAGCTCAGGGACAGCGAGGTCCAGACGCCAGAGCCATGGTAGCGAGCAGTGACAGTGTCGTTGTCCATGGAACAAGCCGTGTCGACCCGCCGGTTTCCACTTCTAAACAAACAACACTGTTGCAACAGCCGTCAGCGGGAGTAGAGACCAAGGCAGAAGGTCATTAAACAAGACGAATACTCACGGCGAGGCCCAGAAATTGCCCGAAAGAGTCTGGTGATGGACGGGCGCCGGGCACCTAGTCAGCCTCATTCTTTGTCTGTAAGTTTTTATGGCATTGGTAGAAAGAGGCGGAAAGCAAGGTTATAAGATGGAGGCGTCGTCTTCGACTTGGGGACTCGGGGTAGTTGCAAAGAGCTTCGTACCAGATACCTGGGAGTTACAGTTGCCGGGAGTTGAGCCATCACGAGGCTTCAGACCATCCACGTGCGTTCCCTTCCTCCCCTTCGTCTTCTTCAGCAGCTTCATCTTTTTCCTTTCCATCGCATCATCCCATCTATCGGACCCTGATCGGCTTCATCTGGCTATGATCTGCCGCTATATCTGCTCGATTATATCCATCGCGTCATAGGCACGAACACAGCGCTAGTCTCGCTGGTGCCCCTCCTCCTCCTCCTCCTCCTCCTCCTCGCTCAGCCCCAGCCTCGCACGCTGATATCATTCTTTCATCTTCCCACGATCTTCCCTTCTCAACTTGCTTTTTCTACTGGCTTCTCGCATTTGCTTTGCCCCGTTTCGAATCTCTGCCTTGCGCCCGAATTCTCCGAGTCTGCTTTCTATTGGCCTTTTTTCCTTTCGATCAGCATTGACTCAGCCTTGTGACCCCACCCTCTTCGATAACCGCCTCCTTCCGGTTTTCTAGCCGCCCTCCCCTCTTGCTCGCGATATCTTCCATCACCCCACCCCTCATCTCGAACTCATTTCCCACAGCCTCTTCCTTGGAACAGCCCCTCATGTCTTCTAACATCTACAGAGAGCGTGATCGTGAGGACGATTGGGACGAGCGTCGTTCTGGCGTCTCTATCAAGCGCTACGTCATACCTACGGAAGAACGAGAGCGCGAGCGAGACTTGTTCTTTCGTGAGGAATCAGGTCCTGGCGAGAGAGATCGAGAGCTAGTCATTCGTCGCACAACAGAGCGCGAAGAGCCCATCATGGTGCAGCGTTACGAGCGTGACACAGACTACGACCGAGACTATTACGAACGTGAGTTATCAGTGTCAGACCGGCCACGCCGTAACCCTAATCCCATCACCATCCGTGAAGATCAGCCGGTAATCATTCAAGAAGCCCGAGGTCCCGTTTACATCAATTCGCGCGAGTCTGACTACGATATTGTTCATCGATCAGAGGTCGACCGAGACCCAGCCTACTACTACCATCGCCGTGTCCGAGAGTACGACAATGACAGCCGCCGCATGCGTCGCGAACTAAGCCCTAGTGATTCTGTCTCTCAGGCTAGCAGGCGGCGCGACGACGATTACAGCAGCGACGACAGCATGGTTTACATCCGGAAAGAAACCAAGGAGTACGACGATCATCACCACCGTCACCTGGCCTCAGGTGCTCTGGTTGGTGTGGGTGCCGCCGAGTTTCTCCGAAGTCGTCGAAAGAAAGATGGGGAGGAAGTTGCTGGTGGCCTTGGTCGTATCGGCCGCGATGTAGGTGCGGGTGCCCTGGGCGCCGCCGCTGTTGAAGCAGCATCGCGGGCAAAAGAGTACTACCGCAGCAAGAGCCGCCATCGGTCTCACTCTTTCGATGATGATCGAAGCTCCCGTTATAGTCATCATCGCCACTACAGCCACAGCCATTCCCGCCACAGGCGCAGCCGCAGTCGATCTCACTCGCGTTCTCGCGCCCGAACATTCGCAGAGATTGGCTTGGGAGCTGCCGCCATTGCTGGTGCTGTGGCCCTGGCTCGCAAAAAGTCAAACAGTGGTCGCAGTCGCTCGCGTTCCCGTCGATCCCGTTCAGTCAAGGGCGATGATGCGAAACGCAGCCAGTCCCACCGCCGTAAGCACATGGCAGAGGCTGGCTTGGCCGGAGCTACTGTGGCTGGACTGGTCGAGAGAGCCCGAAGCCGTTCGCGTTCCAAAAGACGTTCCCGCTCTCGATCGAAGAGCAAGATCCGAAAAGCCCTTCCCGTTGTTGCAGCCGGTCTAGGATCTGCCGTGGCTGCCAACATATGGGACAAGAAAAAGGATAAGGAAGCAGAGGAAGAGCCACGCCGTAAATCTCGCCATCGTTCGAGGTCGCGGGGACGCGCGCCATCTGACATCTATCCCGACCCCACTCGCGACTCTACTGGCCTCATCGAATACGGCGATCATCCAGTGCACGGAAGCATCCCTGCTGCGAACTATTACGGCCGCCCACCCAGCTCTCAGGGCTACCACACAGACGCCTCTGACCGGCTAGCCAGGGATGCTGGTCTTGGCTCTCGCCATCGAGGCCGTACCCGTAGCCGCAGCCGTGCCAGGTTTAGCAGCAGCTCTCCCTCAAGCGACGAGGGCCGCCGTAGGCGCAGGAGTCGCCATAGACACCGCAGTCGATCACGCGATCTGGCAGGAGCTGCTCTGGCAGCCACAGGTGTCGGCTATGCGGCTCATAAATACGCTCAGCATCGGAAGGAGGACAGAGATAGGGAAAGGCAGAGTAAGTGGCGTATTTATGAGCGCAGTGGGTAAAGCATGAGTGACTGATCCCGCTTCATCAGGGTATGACAGCGATGGACCGAGTCCCTTTGAGCAACCATTCAGTCCCAGTCCTTACCCGCCTTCGCCTGCGACCGGCCCAGTAGATAGCTCTCAGTACAGACCCAACAACTACTATCCTCCGCCTCCCGGTTCAGCTCCAACTCCCGCGCCAGGTCCGATGCCTTACAACCCGGCTGATTATCCGCCTCCACCCAATTCTGGGCCGCCTCCGCAGCAGTACAGCTACCCTCCTCCCGCGGCCGATGCATATGCACCTCGGCCCCGGAGGGCAGATGAGAATGTGAGTGCTACACGCGACTTCTCCTCTCCAACCACACAACCTCAACCGTACGATGGTGTGTTGAGTCAGTCATGCTCATGATCGAGCACCGTGTTAACTCTTACCTTCTAGGTCTAGACCCCACTCGTCTAACAACACCGCGTCCACGCCCACGACGCAGACGGACGCGCGCTGGGAGCGAACCGCCCCAGTCAAAATCTGTTGCCTTTGACGATGACCCGCAGACAAACGAGAAAAACAATGGATATGAAACTGATGACAGCGACTCTACTATCGATGGAATGAGCTCAGGCCGTCGTCGTCGCCGTCGTCATCACCGGCGTCACCGTTCTGACCGACGCCGCTATTCTTCGTCTGACCCCTACGCATCGACAAATGACCGCACTGCGGCGCCCAAGCAAAATCAAACAGGCGCTCCTGAATCTGATTCCGATGCCACAGTCGACCTTCCTGACCGGTTTGATCGCCAAGGCCGCCTCCTTCCTCAACCTGGGGATGACCCGCTGGCTGATAAGGTCGAGAATTTGCTGAGACGATTCAACCGGGTGTTTGTATAATGATATGATCTGATCTTGTTTCTTTGGGTGGCTTCTTGGCTATCGATTCTTAAATGCTTATATTTACGATGTTACGTCTCTTTTTATGTTGCCCCTGATGATACTCCCCTGGTTATGACTCACGACACGGCCTACATGAGATGATATGATACACGATCAATGGATGATAGTACCCTTCCCGAATATCTTGAATGCAGTCTGTTTTTCTTTCTATACTTCTCTAGTAAATGTTGTACCCGCATTATCGGTCCCAGTTGTAGCAGTGCAAGCCTTTTATCTGACATGTTTAAATGATTCAACATCTAGGATGACATTTGTATGAGGTAATATCGCCGACTTGAGGTTTCAATCCCTAGATAAGCAAGCATATAAGCCAGGGCAAGATGTTAGGCTACATATAAGCTCTGGAAGAATATATATATTTCATACTTCTATAGATATCATATCCACATAATCTCATGGCCCATCAATCGTAAGCTGAAGCATTATTATACAAACATAGCCCATCACTAGGTGTCGGGTGCCCGATACAAAATATATAACCATCCATACCCCCACCATCACCACCACGCTCAGGTATCAATTGTGCCATGCATTCCATTCACCCCACACGGAACCAGGGAAGAGAAGTCAAGTCAAGCCAGGTACCTATATAGAAGACAAGACGGGAACAATAGAAGTGGCAGAGAAAAAGAAGGAAGAAAATCCCCATCCAGATTCCATTGGCACCGGATTTGTATCTCCGACGTGTCTTGTCTTGTTCTGCATATGATATGATATCATATACCTGTCTTGCAGGGATAGCCCTACGGAGTAGGTCTGACTTGATATTGCTCGGTGGCCGGGCGGGAAGTGCTCTTCGAATCCCGTCGCTAGTAAGCATGCATGCCCATGACGGGGGGAGATGGACACTAGGTAAGGCGTGGTGAAGACATGTACGTGACGGAAGAAGTGAAAGCAGCTATATGATGGCCACCGCTTGAAGGTGTCCAGAAAAAAGAGGGAAGAGACATCAAGGAATTTCTCGAAAGGTAAGAAGTATGTATGGAGAAAGAAAAAATAGAACAGACACGTATGCATGAAATGTCAAGGACTTTTCTGGCTAAAGATATCCCGCGCCGATATATTTACATAGTCGATTTCTAGTAGGTACTGAAGAAGTAGGATGATGGACGGGATGCAGGATTAAATGGAAAAAACAGCCAGATTGAAGCGCCGGTGACGGCCCAGTGTATGCGATTGGGTATATCATAAGCCATAAGCCGCAGAAGCAGAAGCAGAAACAAAGGAAGGAAAGGATGATATCTGTCATGCAATCGTAATTTTGGCTAACGTCATTAATTGTGGAAGATAAAAGAGACTGGACCGATTGGAGTAGGTCTGGTCAGGCCACAAAGGCCCTTCGAGTCTCGGTGATCATAGCTCGTATGGCCTTGAGGGTCTCGCCCTCCGGGAACGCGGAATTAGGTGGAAGGTTCTGACTGGTCATGGAAATATCAACTGTGTCGTCTTCGTCTTCGTCGTCGTGTTTGTGCTTCTTGCCATCGCTGTCGTCGTCACTGTCGGGGGTCACCTTGATAGTGGAGCTGATGGACGACGAGTGGAAGCGGGAGCTGAGGGGCAGTTGATATTGGATGACTCCGGCGACGACAAGCTCAAATGGGTGCTGCAACACCCGCTCCCATCGCTCGGTGCCGCCCTTTTCCGTTGAATTCCCGGGTCGCGCGAGGCGAATCTGGCCTTTGGAGGTAGAAGGTTCGCGATGCCACGGCGACGCTTCGAATGTAAGAGTCGAGTCGAGTCGGAAGACGCGACCAATGAGCATGGTTTGGTGGTCGCCGGCCGGGTCAGACGGGATTGGATCAGTACCCTTGTCCACACCACCATTGGGTTTAGGACGTCCCAGCTGATCTAATAAGCCGTCGTATTCACAATCCAACCCGTCAGCGCAGCGTGCCGTATGTGTGATGTCAGCACGCTTTCTGCGTTCGGCCCGCCCCAATCTCGTGAGGTCGGGGGAATCGTCACGCCAAAACTGATCATTCCCAACATAACGGCTCTTGGCAAAGATGTTCACATCGATGTTGTCAACAACGACGGGAAACAGGTTGGGATTGATAGCTTGCACGTTGAGGTCAAGCATGAGCTCTTGTTCCGACGCGAGCACATTTTCAACGTCGACAACCTGGACGTCAAGTAGAGGCTTAGTGATCGCGACGATGAATGATGTCCCACCTCCCACTAGCAAGAGAAATAACAAGCTTATTAAAAAACAAGCTCCGTATCGGGAGACACAGCTGCGGTGCCGTTGTTGCATGTATTCAATCTGTCGCAGACTGGCGCTATTGGGACGTCTCCCACCACGGCTGCGCACCTGGCGCGGAGAGCCAACAAGTGGCGTCCTTTCATCGTCCGCGCCTTCGGCATCAAAATCATAGCCGTAGACCTCGCTCGCTTTCTTATAACTATTGATGGTACGGTAGTTCTGGTTGTTGCGAGATCCCCCCGGCCTGGCTTGTCGATAACCACTTCCAACAAAGTGCCGAGGAGATTTGTGCCCTTGTGATTGAGGAAATGGTGAGTCGGAATCAAAGAGAGAGGGATACATGTTTTGTCGCCCATGACGCCCGACATGGTGTCGAGGAGTATGCGAACCATTTCCTTCGATCCTTGGGTGAGACCGAGGAGCTTCGTCGGCATCTCCGTCAACACTGCTGGTATAGGTATTGTTCGTGAACTTCATGCTGCGCTTGCCCGTAACACTGTGGTTTCCTTCCCTGACGGCGCGACTACGGCCAGCCAGCTGATCCACCTGACTTGCCATGGACGTCGCACTTGGTGTTCGGGAATGATATCTGCTTTGGCGAACCGGGTACTGATCTGGAGGATTGGACTCGTAAACAAAGGTTTCGTCCGAATCGGAAACGTCGGCTTCATCAACAGCGCTGGCAACCTTGGCTTCGAAGATGTCCGCTTTGGAGGAGGCAGTGCCAGTCGTAAGCGCAGTCGGTTTGCGGGTGCGTCTTTTCTCTTTCTTGGGTCGAATGGTCTCGGTGCTAGGTTTCATCCGTAGGGTTCCGGGGTCTACCCTACCGGAGCTGCCCCGATCACCGGTGGTTACCCCCAATCCAACCTGAGGTATAGAACTGACAGTCTCGGTTTCGACGATCATGTTCCGAACAGAGCCATCGGCAGGTTTCGAACGGGAACCACCGCTCAACGAGGTAGTAGAGCGTTTCGGTAGAATGGTGTTGGATCCCTTCGCCGCGAACGACGGACGTCGACGATTCTCTTCCATTTGCTCTGAGCTTTTATTACCTCCGCTGTCGCTACCACTTTCGGTATGGATTCTCGAGGCTTTCGGAGTCGAGTCTTCGTCGATTTTTTCCAGCTTGGCATCTTCCGGGGCGGGCTGGAGAAGTATAGTATCGGTTGAGGGAGTAGAGTGATCGCTCGCTTCCTGGACGGTTTCAAGAGCCGAGCTTGATCCTCTATTTACGGAACGAGGCGCGCTCCTGTCTGACTTGGCGACGTATTCATCACCTGAAACCTGGGTCCGCTTGCTAGAGGTATTCGGCAGATGAGTTTCTTGCTCCGACCGCCGGGAACCGGCCCACAACGGCATATTGCTCTTGTCCGGGCTAAGCGCATCGGAGGACGGTTCGACATTTGTGGGAGGGCTGAGGACGAGAGGTTTGTTAGGCTGGGAGGGGAGTTTTCCCGGGCCAGGGTTCGGACTTGTTGTAGCAGATCGGTCTGGACTGCGCTCAAGCGGTCGCTTTCGCGATCGGGAGGAAACACGCGAAGTCGATGTAGAGGTTGAATTGCGAGGGCGCTGGGAGGAAGTGGAAGGTGAGGGTTCGCGGGAGGATATTGTGGAGTTCGTGGTGGAAGGAGGCCCAGAGACGCCTGGTGCAGTAGCATGCGAGGGTTTAGGTAGCTGCGACATGAAGGGAACCTGAGACTTGAGGGTCGAACGTGGCAGTTCCCTCATGTCAGTTTCGCTGGCGGATCTTCGGGTAAGAGATGGAGGCACATCATCTTGGGCAGCTTTGGGTCCACCGGCTGTCCCGTCAGGGCAGGGCGACCTCTCGGATTCCACAGCCATGGTCTCTGTCGAGTCAGGTAATTGCTGACAGGCGCATGAAGTCAGGGGAATCCGAGAGGACCAGGCCGCAAAACAAGCAAGAACAAGAAAATAAAATAATCAGACAAGGAAAACAAATCGGAAGGCGGGAAGAAACGAGAAAGGGCTCGGACGGCGACGATAGGCAAACGGAATCAAGAAAAAACAACCCAAAGGGCTATTTTAGCCTCTTAGCCTCAAAGTCAGCCAACGAGCAAAGACACCGACGCGTTGGATGACAATAATGTGAGCTGATGTCGCACAGCACATTACATGGGAAAATGATTTGCCAGGCGAATTGTCGACGGCCACATGCCGATGGGGTGTAAATGCCGAAGGGCCAATTCCAAAGGGGCTTAATCACGGCCACGGTCGTTCAAGGAGCAAATCACCCGATAGTACTCCGTAGTGGAATGGGGGCTCAGGTTACGGAAGGCAAAGCGAGGCCAGCAACGCAGCGAACGATGCGAATGCAGCACCACACATAACTTGACCAGAAGACGGTGAGATGGTGGAATGTCTAGAACAAACCCGGCCCCGTTAGCTCGCGGCAACCACTTGTCGATCCGAGGAGGATCCGGCGGGAGACTGCTTCAGGGCTCGAGGATCGGGGGGCCTCAACAGCAGTCCGGTCAGTCAACAGGTCTCGTGTACTCGTAACCGTCTGTTGGGGATGGATCGCAGGCTCTAGTGCTCAGGGGAGGGGAAGATCGAGGTCCAATGAAGCGAGCCCACGTCAAACAATGAGGGCGGGCAGTATCCGGGGAGAGGGACGCCCACCAGCAGTTGCGGTGGGGGAGGAGAGGATTCCTGTAGGTGTCGGCGCACGACCGTTGCGGCGTTGACCGCTGTAAGCTCAGTCAGCCTCGTCAGGGATGTTGAGCAGCGACGACAATTAGAAGACAATAGTGAAGTTCGGTGCAGATAGAGAAGAAGAAACGAAAGGTCAAGCAGCATGAAGAGGAGCAGGAGGAACCGAGTTCTGGACCTTGATTGACTTGCAATGTTCCGAGCCGTTGGCTGTCGAATTACACGAGGTGACCGCGGTACGGTATTACTGCCCGCCAGATTCAAGTCTAACCTGGTAAGATTGGTCACAAATACAGCCTCCCGCCATCATGATGACTTCATGAGGCTTGAGCATAAGCAGGTTATAAAGCAATACAAGGATATATTAAGCGATCCTAGCTATAGCAGATCCAACTTCCAAGGAATAGTCTTCATCGATCCAAGGGCGGCTTTATATGATTGGTCAAGACCTATGTACTCCAATACCTGTTTATCTACCACAAGATGAGATTAACCAGAGTCACCCAACGCCAACAGCTTCTAGCCGGCAACTTCAAACATAGTACTTTCATGGGGAATAACCAAGACAGGCAAAAGCAACAGCCAAAAACAAAAGAAATCGCCGAGCCCTTAAACGATATTGTACACCCGCTTCGCGATCAGGAACGACGCGAAGGCGAAGATAACCAAGCCACCCGTAACTGGAAGGAGTCAGCGATCGGTTCAATGCATAATTTGAAGGAGGACATGTTCCATACTCGAGTAAAACCAAGTCAAGCTATCCACGTCCTGACCGGGGACCTTCACGTTCATCCCCCACATACCGCAGATGATGTTGAGGGGAAGCACGATAGTTCCAAGCACGGTCAGCTTGCCCAACACATCTGCAGTTTGCTCTTGTCGTTCGTTCATGTGGATGTTGATCTGCGCTAAGTAATTGCTATGCGCGCGTGACAGAAGCCTACAGCAGAAGACGCATTAGTCAGAGTCCAAGCGGCAGAGGCAAGGGGTCCGAGAAGCACTGGCGCCCAATACTTACGTTTCGTAGTAAGTTAAACTGCTGGTCATGGTCATGATGTGGTCTTGGATGTCGCCCAGATACAGGCCGATCTCCGACTTGGGCGCCACCTCCCAGTGCTCGTTGCATCTTTTGGCGAAGCCCTTGACGACGTCCGCCTTGTTACTCAAAAGTCGATACAACCCCATAACCTTCTTGCGGCATACACCAACACGCCGCAGCATCTCGCCGGGGCCTGGTATCATCTCTTCCTGCTCCTCTTTCGGACTTGAACTCACTGGGCTCTGGGCAGAATGCATACGCATAATCATTTCGTCAATATCATCGACTTCGTCTTCGATCGACTGTATGAGAGGCCCGAACACGTCGGTGATGTCATCAATGAGTGCATAGGAAATCCAGTCAGAGCTCAGAATCAAGTAGTCCATCAGCTGGCGGATGCGACGGCGGACGTTGGCCGGGTGAGGTGTCTGTGAGAAGTGGAAGGACAGGATGCCCTCGCGGAAGACGACAACGTACATGTTCACCGGCTCCAGGTAGTTTTCGCTGTTTGGGTCCTGCTCAAAAGTACGATAATTCAAAAAGTAGTAGTTTCGAAATAGCTCAACCTTCTCACGCGCCTCCTGCATCATGATATCCTCAGCTGTTAAAGCATGGATACCAAAAGCTTTGGAGATCACCCGCATCTCGGCATCAGTGGGGCACAGGACATCTAGCCAGAACGTGGGTCTAGGTCCATATCGCTTTGGTTTTGGGGCGGTTTGAGTGTGCTCTCTGGGAAATTCACTCGTGGCACGTCCCTCCGATACAGCTTCGCTAATAACAGAAGTACGAAGGTGCGTTCTAGCTTCTGATTGGTGATTTGAATCGTGATTGTTGGGATGTGAATCCGTCCTGGTACTCGGGCTAGGGTTCGCAGTACGGGTACTTGGCGTTGGGTGGTCGCTATGTCGATGTTCCTCTGAATCCGAGTCTTCTCCGTCGGAGGAATCCTCGAGCTCTGGTGGATCGGGAATGAAGAGTTCGCGAAAGCTACCTCCCGGCTGAACCAGCTCTGGAATCGTCTGTGCATGAATAGTGCTTTGAAATTCTTCATTGAAGTAGGTGAAGCGATACGGGGCTTCATCCTCTTCACGTCGCCAGGCTCGGAACTGCGGGCGAAGACGGCCCTCAATCAGCATGGGCTCGCTGATCTTCTTCGTACGGAACACTCCTGTCCGTTCTTCCTTCTCTTCGCGGCTCCAATCCTCCAAGACGGACAAGTCCGGCCACTCTTTAGCACGACGCCTGCGTCGTCCATCTCCGCGCGATAACGCGGGTGCGCATTCCTCCGCTACCTCCGAGGCATCTTCTTGCGGGAAGCAGACGTCCTCTTCTGCTGGTACAGTCCGACGTCGGAGAAGTGTTTCCTGCGGTGTACGATGCGGCGATACAGCGGTGGACCCAGGCGTACTTCTAGACCGTTGGCCGTTACCGTCTACATCAATCACCATATCGCGCGGATGGGACGTAGCGAATCGATCATCCGGGGATCTGCCAATGCCGAAGTCAAACTCCGCCCCGGTCATTACGGCATCGTTGTAACCCATCTCCGGGCCCAGCTTGGGCGTCGACGGCATTGACGGGGGGTTGTTGATGTCATGGCTTGGAGCTTCGCGCGGCGAGCATCGAGAGGAATCCGACCGAGCCGATTTGCGACGCTGATGGAAATTGAATGGGCTCGACACGGAATCCGTTCCATAGCCCGGAGACTTCGGCATACGGCCAGATGGTGGCTTCATCAACGGTGTTCGGTCGTCCACCTCTTCTTGATCGCTATCCATTGCAAGCATACTTTTCCCGCGAGATTGGAACGGACGAGACTCGAAGTCACGAAAGGAAGTCGATATTGAACCAGGTCGGAATGACAGCCGGCTATCTCTCCGCGGCCTCATCAACGGTTGTTTTCTATTCGTCCCCAAGCCCGGAAGTCAGTTGAGATTGTCTCGTTGAATAAAATGCCATAATGACTGGATGCGCTCATACCGATGGTCCAACAAAGCTTCGCTCTCCAGACTCGTATTGCTTAAATTTCCCCCGGACTTGTAAAATGGCGTGGAACCTCGAGGTCTGGCCTCATTGACCGACATCGCGTCTAAAGTCTCAGACTCGGGGATGGTAGGTGGGGCATCGGGCTGCGAGTCTTCTGGAGCTAGGAAAGACGGCCTCCGATTTCGACGCTTCCTGTTATTGCGATTTTTCTTGCGCTTGTGCTTCTTAGTACTACCATTGGCATCCTGTCCCGTGTGCGCTGATGGTAGGTTGTCCATCGCTGACGGTGTGGAAGATCGGCCTTCCCCTGAGGAAAACTTGTTCGGGAAAGGTGAGTTTTGATGTGACGTAGATTGCGGACGAGACATCGTGAGCCGCTCAGCCTTGCCGACTAGGCCAGGCCAGGATGGTCAGTTGTTTATCAAACGCGATTGGTTAGGAGTGCGCCAGCTCAAGGCTCCAAAAATGAACAATGCGAGCGGCTGATATAGGTACCAGTGGGTACGGAGATGATAAGGGATAACAGAGTTAGAGATGCAGTTGAGATTTGACTAGTGAGCGTGGCTTGAGCATCATCAGCGACAGCTCAGCAGGGCCTCGGGCGAGAAGAAGCAATTCCAATGGTGGTGACGCCCTGTCGCAGGACGCTGTGGAACATCGGAGATGCAGCGCACGGAAATGGCTTCATGAATAAATGTTAGGAACCAAAACCGACACGAATTCCAATGGTCCAACAGGAATAGATAACAGCGCAATGGCGCATTAGGCAAAGCTAGTCCAAGTTCTCGGCCTTGAAAGTTGGAAGACCAAGATCGGCGTAGAGTGCGTAGTGAGGAGCTATCCAGGTCACGTGGCTGGACCGGAACTTTTGCCTGACGTCATTCATTCGGTAATCACATGTGGTTACTGTTCCAGAGCATGGGTCTATCTTACTACTCGTTACCTAGTTCCAAGTGACGAGTATCTGTAGGGCTGAGCTATTGTAGGAAGCGAGCAAGGCCATGCCGAAAAGCAATGAGTGTATATATATGCCTGTATAGTCCACATCAAACCTGACTATATCTTCGCTTGCTTGAAGACAAACAGATTCCTCCCACTCTCAGTCGAAACCCAGCCTCGCTTGCCGACTTGCTCGGTGTCACTGCAGAGCTGCTGGAGCGTATACGCATCCTCGACATTTGCGACAAATCGAGCTCCATCTCCAGATCCATCATGTAGACGACCCACAACAAACCCCATAGCCGGGGAACCGTCGCGGCCGAATTGGACTGTATACGTCTGTACAACTTTGGTTAGAACACGCGTAACCCTTGCTGATCGCGACATAGTATAGAGTATCATGAAGAGACATACCTCGATAACGCCGCCCCCTTCAGCGTGCTCTTCAATAATGGGATGATCGTCGTTCAGATGCGACGGGAGCGGGTTCCACCCTGGATAGCTTGAGTCCAGCCGCGGCTGAGTCGAAAGGATGACTGTATGGTGGTATGAGAGGACGCCTCCGTTAGTGAGGACCAGACCGTGCTGTGCCTTGGAGGCAGTTTGCTTGCGGGCACGCAGTTGGCGGGTGATCTCTGCTATGGCCTGGGCAGATGGGCGGTCAGCCAAAATATGGGTTGACGGAAGGGGGGAATTGTGGGAGGGTAGCATACATGCATAGAGTAGTTATTGCCTGCCCCGCCAAAGGACGTGAGGCCACCAAGGACGGTTATCGGTTTTCCGCCGTGGAGGGGAAGGCCCAGGTGGTGGGCTGCGAGTTTGGGGACGATGGGGAAGCATCTGTGCCTTTGTTAGCGCTTCACATACTACTTCAGTGTCTGTTTGAAGGCATACGAGTAAAAGTCAAAGAGATCGATGTCTTTTGTTTGCAGCTCGGTCGCCTTAAGGGCTGCATCGAGGGATTCAGAGAGACTGCGGCTGGCGTGGAAGTATGGCCGTTCCCAGACTGCGCTAATTAGTGCTATCCACCACTCATTCTGATCTAAGGAGGGACATACACCGGCTAGCATCACTCGTTCCGGCGCCCCCCAATGGATATATCCATTTGGTCTCTGGAATCCCTAGTTCACGGGCGAAGCTTGTTGTTGTGATGATACAGGCGGCAGCCAAATTCACAGTGTTGAATGCGTTCATGAGAAGGGGATCTGACACATGTTAGAGGTATTGATAGCAGGCACACAGGTACTGACATGGCGAGCAGATCATGCGGTTGCGTTTCGTCACTGTCCCGATTGACTCGGCCGTCTCCGGTTCCTGACCATAGGACCAGGAGAAAGGTAGCTTGGCAGCGACTTGGGCGAAGTCTGCATATAGATCTGCTGACTCTTTGTGATTCTCTGCTAGTTTCTGCTTCATATGCGCCCGAAAAGCTGCCTCGTAGAGAGGATATACTTGGATCGGTGCCCCGAGGAAATGCCGGCTTCCCAGATCTATCAATGTAAGCTTTAGCCAAACTTGTGGAAGTCTGAAGAATACCATCAGGTCGCTCTCGATCCCAGAATGAAGTGTGATCATCAAGTTTAGTCCAATGTGGAGGAGGGAAGTTCTTCGCCTTCTTGAAGGCCTCCACTGCTGGTGTTAGCACAGTCCTGCCGTATTACGGAGGGAACGAACATGAAGCCAGCGCCTCGGCACCAGTCACAACGGCCACCTTGCTCATCCTATGCGCAACTCGTCGCGCAGCTTCATCGAATAACTTTCCGGGAGAGTCACCACCATGATGACTCTCAATTGTATGTATGGCTTTCGGTAATCCCAGTCTTCGCACAAGCAGCCCGGGCGCGTCAGGATATGGCCAAGTCCAATTTGCAACGACCGAGACACTTTCAATGGCCGATTGTAGTTTTTGAGCCGCGTCTGGGGTGAGTGTTGTATCTTGGATGGCGGCGCCGATGGCCCGCAGCATCAGGGTCAACGGCTCGGCGGCATCATCTCGTCCTTTGGAGGCGCGATCGTTGATCTCGCCGATGCCGACTAGGATGGGGATTTCTGCTGAGCTTGACATGGTGAGTGGTAGGGTGTAGTGATGGGCAAGCCGCAAGATGAGAAGCCATGTGCTCGCCGGCTTATTTATCCCGCTGCTTGCCGAGGAACCGTCCCTTAACGATGATCCCCATGGGACGAAGTGGATGCTCTATCTCGGTTCTCGGGAACGCATGCGGGGAACCTGCAACCTGATGTATAGCAGACTGCAGTAAGGTAAACACTTTAAAACAAATATTTATCGCTATACAGCTGGTATTTGACTTTGGTTATTCCCAGTACTTTTCCAGCTTCCGCACAAAATGGCTTCTCAAAGTATGTCACGGCAAGACCTTTCCACCTGAAGTACGAAGATAGGGGCTAACATCTGCAGAACAAATCAGCACCAATGTTACCGAGCTCCTGGGTGTCAAACATCCAGTTCTCCTAGCTGGCATGTTCAATGTTGCGTCTCCAAAGCTTGCGGCGGCCGTGACCAACGGCGGAGGCCTTGGGGTAATCGGAGGAGTCGCGTATACTCCAGAACTGCTCCGCGAAGCCCTCAAAGAGCTGAAGAGCTACCTGATAGACAAGAGCGCCCCGTTCGGAGTTGACCTTCTTATCCCCAAGGTTGGTGGCAGCGCCCGGAAGACCAAGTACGTCTCACCCCCCAGACAGTGGACTAATCGCTAACTCATCAGCTATGACTACTCCCACGGCAAGCTCGGCGAGCTCATTGAGATCATCATTGAAAGCGGCGCGAAACTGTTCGTCTGCGCCGTCGGCATTCCGCCCAAGTGGGCCGTCGACCGGCTTCACCAAGGTGGCGTCCTCTACATGAACATGATCGGACATCCTAAGCATGCCCTTAGAGCCGTTGAAGTCGGAGCAGACCTTATTTGCGCACAGGGAGGCGAGGGAGGTGGCCATACCGGCGACATTCCCACCGTTGTTCTGATCCCCGCTGTGGCTGAACTCCTCCGAGACAAGATCAGTCCATTCACACATCGTCAGGTAGCGTTAGTAGCAGCAGGGGGGATGTATAATGGTCAGTCCCTGGCGGCAGCAATCATGTTAGGCGCCGGCGCAGTGTGGGTTGGAACGCGCTTTATCCTCTCGGAGGAGACTGGCGCATCGAGTGTCCACCAGCAGGCACTGCAGGAGGCAGGGTTCGACGACATCATCCGTACGACGATCTTCAGCGGTCGCCCGCTGAACACCCAGGCCACGCCGTATATCAAGCGCTGGGAGAACGAGCGCAAGCAGGAGTTGCAGGACTTGCAGGGCAGGGGTATCATCCCGTTGGCGCATGATATGGACACCAAGAAGGATGACGATGAGGTCCTGGACAATGCACATCCGATGCTCATGGGCAAAGTTGCGGGACTGGTGCGTGAGAGGCTTCCTGCTGGGAAAATTGTGGAGAGCATGGTCGAAGAGGCGGCAGCGTTGTTGGAGGCTGGCGCTAGGAGTGTTTCGAAGGCTAAGCTGTAGTGCCTACCGTGACTGCTCAATACCTTTGACATTATTCTCATCAAGAGTACTACCTTTACCTTCTCTCTTAGGGCTCAGAAATACTTAATCATGATTGAGACCATCATTGCTGTGTGTTTGTGCAAAATAAAAGCTAAACCCAATTGGGCCGAGGCGAAAGCCATGATGCCTTAAAGCTCAGGTTGCAGTTTTCTCTCCACATTGACTTCGAGATGTTGACCTCACGCACTTTCAACTCTCCGTCTTTCCCATCTACTCATCAAGATGGACTACCTTACATTCCCATCTTCAGAGACCCCATTTCTAGAGAGTTATCTCCCAAAGGACAAAGCCAACAATGACCTGCCTTTCACAACCCTCACATTCGCAACCTCCCTGGACTCCTCTCTAGCACTCTCCCCAGGAACCCGCACCATTCTATCAGGACCTCAGTCAAAGGCAATGACGCACTATCTGCGCTCTCGCCATGACGCAATTCTCATCGGCGTCGGGACAGCTGTTGCAGATAACCCCGGGCTGAATTGCCGGATTCAAGGCGTGGGAGGCTACGGAGGGGAAGGTTTACAGGGCCAGCCGCGGCCTATTGTGCTTGACCCGTCGGCGAGGTGGGAGATCAACGATGGATCCAAGATCCTCCAGCTTGCGAAGGAAGGTCGCGGAAAAGTCCCGTGGATCATCACGGCTTCTGGGGTGTCTATCTCCGAGGACAAAAAGAGTCTTTTGGAAAGCCACGGCGGGAAGTTCATTTCTCTCGATATCATCGAGGGTAAAGGATTTGATTGGGCTGAGCTGCTACGATGCCTGAAGAGTGAGGGTCTCGAAAGTGTCATGATCGAAGGGGGCGGGTCGGTTATCAACTCCCTACTTGAGCCGCAATTTCAGTATCTCGTTGATTCGGTCATCGTTACGATTGCTCCTACATGGCTCGGCCAAGGAGGTGTGGTCGTTTCTCCGAAACGGAGATTTGATGGGAGTGGCAATGCGATGGCGGCGTCTCGCCTGAAGGATGTGAAGTGGCATCCGTTTGGGGAGGATGTCGTCCTTTGCGGAAGAATTGGGCAATGACTGCATTGTCTATCAAAACGGCAAATGTATATGGTTTATATGCGTGCAATAGGGGTCATGCCCTGAGGGATCCTCAAGCAGGCACTCCCAGCCCGGCAAGAACCCTCCGGGGTCCGATTTGTTTCCACCGATTCATCTCCTCCTCGCTCGTCAACCACACGGAGCCTAGCATCCCTGGGGTATTCGCAGCAACGCCTTCGAAATCAGCACTCCGCCTAGGAATAACCATGATCCACTCTTTGACCAAGGCGACATTATGAGGGATATAGTCGCTGTCCTCAAGATTCCCCCCAAGAGACTCCTTAGCCTCAGCAAGCAAATCCCTGTATATCTCAAAAAGTCTATTCTGGCCTTCCGGACTCCTAAGCTCAATGTCATGAAGATACCGCAGGAAGTACTTGTACGGCACGGCCTTGCTCTCACTTTGCTCATCCGGGAATAATTTCGGCGGCCGCGGCAATACCTGCAAATGCTTGTGCTGCCTGCTAGCACCGCCTCTCGGCCCACAGTTGTAAATGACAACCTGCGGCGACGCATCGAGCGAGGTTAGAACCGTACAAGCAGCGGCCAAATCATCCAAGTCCAGCGGCTCCCACTGCCGCCGATACGAGTCGCTCGTCAGTAGCAGTAATTGCGGCCGGAACATGCAGAACTTGTTCACCACAAGCAAGTGCGTCCCGTGGATATTTGCGAGGAGCGTGGCCGGGTCATCGTTCCCAATGTCGCTTCCTGGCCCGAAGCACTCTGGTTTCTTCGCGTTCGGGTCTTCATGCCCGCTGACAGGGTCCCCATTCTGCGGTTTCTTCGAGAGTGAAGTACTTATGTGGAACTCGAACTACGTTTCGTCAGTAATGGCTACAAGTTTTCCTCTGGCTTATGCTCACAGCAAACCCGTCATCGTCGAACTTGGTTGTTGTGCGCGGGGCATAATAGATGCTCTTCCTGGCGACTAGGTCATCGAATGCCGATAATACTGCGTCGTAGCTGATTGAAGGTGCCATTTTACTCATAATGTCTCGCCGCAAGAGCCCCATGCACGTTGAAGGATTGGCGTTGAACATTCGCATCCCATCACCGGGAAAGTACATAGCTCGGATAGACTTGTAAATTTTCTCCCGCGACTTGTAAAGTGCCAAGACTTGGAATAATAATAAGTCATGCAACTTATTACCCCTATATTTAATATAATAATCAATCGAGAATTAATTGCAATTCCAGATGTTTCATACATACCTGTTAATCTCTATTTGTTTTATTTCTGTCTTTGTGTCTCGTCGCCTGTATCTTGTTTATTTTAACGCCTAATGAACCGGATGACTTTCTTAGCGCGACCGAGTGAATCGGATGACTTTTTGACAAAAATGGCCTAAAGGAGTTTAGCGCCGCGTTTTGGCTAGTAATCGTAGACCCACAAAAAAGCTCGTTGGCCAATAGAACGCCGCCACGGCCAACGTCACCTCCTTCACCACCAAGGCCTTTACCCCTGAGATCTCTCAACATTCACAAAGACCGCTACAATCTCCGCTCTGAATAGCTTCAATTTGGCCGTGTTAGGAAGGAACTGGCAGGCGTACGAGGCCTCTGCGGGCGCGCGGCGCGCGCGCAAAGTTATTCGTTTCAGATAATTACCCCTTTTTGAATTGACCAATGAGATTCCTGCATTCTATTGACGTAAATATAACTTTTAGACGTTCGGAATAGCTTCAGAATGCTCAGTTTAGTTAGGATTATGAAGAATCGATTTTGTTAAACAAGGGTACTATTCTGTTTGGCCGAGGTCGAGCCTCGGAGAACAATTTTACTAGTAAATTACTAGGCAAGTTGTGTGACGGGGCCGAAACAGGGCTCTGTCAGAAAGTCATCTCGTTCACTCGGTCGCGCTAAGAAAGTCATCCGGTTCATTAGGCGTTTATTTTAATAAATTGTGGGGAAGACAGATTTAACTTGGTCTGTGCTTTGGAAGATATTCTAGTTTCTTAGTATTAGATCCACAGCTAACCACATTCCCATTACTCTTAAAACCTCCCATCCCTACAACAAACTCCCGGTTAATCCACTAGTCCCAAAGGTTACAAATCATATCTTATTCCTATTCTCCTGTAGTACCTCTATTCCAGTACCCAAACAACTGATTAGCGTCCTCGGGAGAACACGAAATCCGCAACTCCAGGCAAGAAAGAGTTGAGATGCTGAAGGTGTCTACTTATTCATCTATTTCCATCTCTCTCTCACCCTCTCGTTTTTACCCCTCCTCCTTCCTCTGCAGTCTTCTCCTGTTTCCCGGTTATCATGTGGAAGCCAGTTCCTCTCCCCTACAAGAGTGACTCCCTCCCTCTACCTGCTATTCCTACCGCTGCCGAAATCCGGGCATGCACCAATGTTTTATGGGATGGAGCCCACAGAATCGTTGCGTTGAATGAGGACGTTGTCGTCAAGTATGATGGCGGCCTAGATGCCACGGAAGGCCAGAACCTGATCTACCTTGAACGATACGCTCCTAAAGTGCCAGCCCCCCGACTCTACGCAATGTTTGAGGAAGACGGCAAGACCTACCTGATACTACAGCGCATCCCGGGAGTCCCACTTGACTCTATTTGGAAATCCTTGACCGTCTCCGAAAAAAACGGCATTACTGCCAAACTCATCCCGGTGTTTGATGCTATGCGGGAGGCTGCGTGTCCCTGGCCGGACTTTTATGGTGGCTTGGATGGCGGTCGAGTCCATCACTGGTTGTTCTACAGTCAGAAAAAAAAGGACTTCAAGTTCCTGGGCCCATACTATGGCGAGGATGCCTTTGTTGCTGGCATGTTGCAGAACTTCAGAGTTTCCACTGAGCGTTGTGAGCGGCCGGACTTCAAGGCCCGCTTTTATGAGAAGTACCTTCCTCAAGTGCTTCGGGGGCACCGGCCTACATTGACGCATTCGGATTTCCACCAGAAGAATATTTTAGTTATAGAGAATCCTTGCCCAGACAACCAAGGAGAGCGATCATTTGAGGTTGTGCTTATAGATTGGGAAGATGCGGGCTGGTATCCTGATTTTTGGGAATTCTTCATGGCGTCTGACCGGAATGTTTTCTCCTTTTGTGATGAGGACTGGTTCTGGCATATGCAACAGTTTCTTGAAGTATGGCCTGCTGAGCTGGGTGTGATGCGTTTGTTCGAGAAGGATATGCGTGGTCACTAAGTGCTTTTAGACACTCTTGCATGCTTGTGGATCGCAGCAGCTCTCTGACGATATACATTTTGATCTGGGGTGTAGGCTGATTGAGGGTTTGGTGCCAAATCCCTCAAGTCATGCCCGTGTCTAGAAACTGAACACTTGTCCTCCATATGGGACAAAGGGGGGAGAAAACCCACATTCCATTCGTATTGACAAGAGTGAATCCCATTAGCTGGTTTTATATACACACAATCAAGCCTCCAGAGTTGAACTCACCCACACCACCATCGTAGGCCCCAACCTCCACCTCCATCGGCCAAAGCCAAACCTACAGCTTCGACCCAACCCACTCAGGCCTCCTCTTCTCCTTAAACGCCTCCAACCCCCTCCGAATATTCTCGCCTCTTAAAAGCTTCGCCCCATAAAGCTCCGCCGTATTCCGACTCCCCTGCTCCACAGACCCCGTCTCCCACGCCTCGCGCAGTCCATGCCTCGACACAATGACCGCGTCCGGACTAACATCGGCAACCTTATTCGCGAGCTCAATCGCATCCTGCAGGACGCTCCCCGGCGATTCAGAAATATAGTTGACGAGCCGCAAGGCCTTCGCTTCGGCCGCGCTTATCCGCCGTCCCGTCAGCGCGAGCTCCGTCCCAACCTGCATCCCCACCGTGCGGATTATGCGTGATAGTCCGCCGGCGCCGGCGTACAGGCCGCGTTGGACTTCGGGGAGGGCGAATTGGGCGCTTGGCGAGGCGATTACCATGTCACTATAGACAGCCATTAACCCTCTATCCAAACTAACCTAAGAGAGAAAGAGACGATAGAGGGAATGCAAGCATACCAATTCAAACAAATCTCAAACCCCCCACCAAGCGCAAACCCATTGACCGCCGCAATAACAGGCTTCTTGCCGCGCCGCTGACTTATCCCGCCGAACCCGTTCGGCATGGGCAGGCGCTCACCTGCACCATTTTCTGTCTTCGTGGTCGCACCGTCACTCGCATTCTTGAAATCAAGCTGCTCGAGCAGATCCGCGCCCGCGGAGAACGCCTTGTCGCCGGCGCCTGTGATGATGCCGACGCGCAGCGAGGGCTCCTCGTCGAACCAGTTCCAGATCGCGTAGCCGTCTTTGTGGCCCTGTGTTGGGATGGCGTTCATGCGGGACTCGCGGGTTATTGTTACGAGGAGGATGTGCGGGGTGGGGAAGGTGAGGGTGTAGATTTGGGAGGTTGGTGGTGGGGTTTGGAAGGGGGGCATGTTGAGGGATTTGGGAGGTAGTCTATGCTGCAGATGGGATATGAGTATGGTGAGGAATTGTAGACGTTAAATTGGAGTTTTGGATATTTGATGGATGGGGATGGCAGGGGTGGAGTCCGAGGCTTGGAGCTTCCCCGCAGGAGAACCGAGGCTCAAGAGTCAAGTGCAACTGCTCCAACAACAAATTGAGGCTTGACTTCGAGCTCACAGGCCGTGCGGAGAAAATAGAATTCGACAAGGATGCGACAAGGAACAGCATGAAAAAAAAATAAACAAAAAACAGTGTCCCGCAAAAAGATATAAACGGTAAGTGCATGTTCAAACTATTGAGCAAAAATGTGGACACGCCGGGAATCGAACCCGGGACCTCTCCAATGCGAATGGAGCGTTATACCCCTAAACCACACGCCCATTGTGTAACACGTGACAGATTCCATCAATACACTATGTATCAAACATGGCTGTGAGCTTTACTTGGTCCACACATCTCGATCCAATGTCAACTTGACTGACTACTCCGTACAAGGTCCTAAGAAAAATAAATGTGCTTGAAGAAAGTAAATAGAATTATTATGTACATACGTACAGCCGTAACTTCATAAGGTCTGATCTAAAGTAAAGCCATAGGAGAATCATCAAGGCCGTAAGAATGGGAACCGCAGTCCCATCATGAATCATGAAAAACAAAGCAAAAAAGAATACAAAAGCAATCCAATTGATATCCCGTATCCCATTGACGCCATGCCGATTTTCCAGCCGAAAAGACAAAGCAAATAGAGCAGAAAGAAGAATGCAGAATCCAAAGTCGCCGTCCGAGCTGGGATAAACAGAGCACGTAACCTAGTGTGACGCCTAGATCACATTACTCATGCTCATATTCATGCTCGACGGCGCGATACTATGCACCGAGCGACTGGCGTCAATGGACATGCGGTCGCCGCTAGTCATCCTGTTGAGGCGTTTATCCTTGCCCGGTCGTGCAACAAGGACCTGAGCAGGACAGACGACGACTTCGTCTTCGCCCTCGCCGGCGTCATTGCCCTTCTTCACGACGAGAGGGAACAGCACGACGCGGACGACGGCATTTTGAGCCTGCAGCTCATCATTGGATGTAGTCTCGCCGCTGCGCTCGTTCATGAGGGCTGCATTGAAGAACACCTGGCGGGCGAGGTCGCCGTTCGTATCGTATTCAGGCTGCAACGGAGGCAGCATGATGTATTCTGCGAGCTGGGTGCGCATTTCCAGCGAGAGGTTAACTGCCACGCGGAGGACTTTGCGCAGGGACTCGAGGAGTTGGGATTCGACGTGGGTGGGTGGGGGGAGGAGGCGGGAGAGCACGTCGAAGATTTCGAGCGCGACGGCTTCGGTGTCGCTGTCGCGCTGCTTGGTGAAGGTTTGTCGGCGGGAGAGGAGGGTGAGAGTTGTTGCGCGCCAGCGGTGGATTGCGTTGCGTGGGCCGACTTCGATGAGCTGCTTTTCCAGCGATTTGAGTTTCTGGCGTTGCTCGCGGTCCATGCCGAAGAGATAGCGAGTGAAGACGAATTCCCAGATCATGGTCATGACGACGGACATGAAGATGTCGCGGCGGCGGACGCGGTCGGCGAGGTAGGTGTCGGTGTCTGACCCGTCGAGAACAGCATTGTCGAACCGGTCGGCGATCTTCTCGTCTTTGACGTCGATGAGCTTGCGGCAGCGACGGTGGTCGGAATGCTTCGAGAAGCGCAGGACCCACTGCTGCACATGGCCGCAGAGTTTCTGACATGCAGCCTCAAAGTAGTCCTCGCCGCGGAAAGCGATGACGTTGTCGTTCATCTGGGCGGAGATTTGCTGTTGGAGTTCCTTGACTTTGTCGCGTGCACTCTCCAGCTCCTCGCGCAGTCGACGTAGTTCGGCATTCTTCTGTTTCAACGCGGTTTCGATCTCTGATTTTATGCGCTCATGCAGATCAATGGACAGGCGTTCATTTTGCGATCGCAGCTGCTCAACCTCGCGCGCCGAGGTCTGTTGCACTGTTTGTAGTTCCTGTGTATGCGTCGCGATCAGGGTAGCATTTGTCGAGGTCAACCCAGAATTCTCTTCATTCAACCGGGCGACCTCCTTTTGAAACCATTCGACGGACTGCTGTAGTTGTTCGAGCTCCGCTTCTCGATCGTGGAGGTCGGCGTCGCGAGTGTTAAGCGCCTGGTCGCTCTTCCGACGAGCGAGGCTGGCAATGCGTAATTTGTCTTCGGCAGCATCGCGGGCAGCAGCAAGGTCACGGTTTTCTTGAAGTAGATGGTCGAGACGGAATTCGAGTTCTTGGAGGTGTTGCATACTTCGGCGGTGCCGGACGCTGGCCGGTCGGCTGGGCGACCGGGGAGAACTCGGCGTCTCACCCCAGCCCTCCTACGCCATTAGCATCAAACAAACAATGGAAATCATCAAATCATCAGAAGTAATATCAAATAGAACTTACATAGACATCCGTCATGCTGCGGAGGGGCCGCTTGCCCTTGTCAGTGACGGGGTCGTAGGAGGAGGAAGAAGCGATCTCGCCGACGTCCAGGTCGAGGTCGGCGGGGGGAGATGGAGGGCGCGTCCCGCCAATCACGGGCGGCATCGCCCCAGCCTCGGGGGCTGGGGCTGGGGCTGGACCTGGACCTGGACCTGGGGCCTCGATCGCATTCGCTGCAAGTGCTGCTGCGCGTAGATCTCCACTGGCACTGTGCACAACCCGACGCAGTGAGTGCGTGCTACTCTTCGCGCTGGGTGGCCTACTTGGTCGGAGTATGGGTTTGTCATGTTCTGGCGTCTTGAGGATACTTGACCGTGGGCTGCGCTCAGGAGAGAGGCTTCTTGGGCTGGGCTTTTGGATCTTCTCCCAGTCATCGTCCGACTCGTGCTCAGGCGTAGGCCATGCGCGGCGTCCCAGCGCAGTCTCTGTAAACTTCCGGACTGGTGTTTCTGGTCGTGGCAGCACATGCTCGGGCTTCATCTCCAGCCGGGGCGTGCCGTCCCGTACCATGGCTCGCGCAGGTTCCTGTTCTGCGATCGCAGGGAGCGGACTGGGCGAGATGTCTCGTTCGCTTCGGGCTTGGGCAGACTCCTCTAGGGTCCAAGGTAGTCGTTGGTTGCTGTGCCGCCCGTGAATTGATGGAGAACGACGAAGCTCGCACGCAGGTCCTGGCTCTGGAATTGTATCCCCGGTGCTTAGGAGCTCTTCTCGAGGGACCTCTGGCGGACGCTCAGGTGCGAGGTCAGTTTTGATATTAGGAAGCTCCCTCGTAGTTTTGATTCCAAAAACATCATCCTCCTTGACTGGCTCTGGAGTTATATCTTGTCGAGGCCTTGGGTCGAAAGCCTCCGACGGATGTTGGATGTCCATCTTCACCTCCGGCACTTCTCTAGCAGCACCAAAGACATCATCTGCCGGACTCGGAATGTATCCGCTATCCCTAACCTCCGGTTGCAACTCTACCTCTCTAGCGATGGGAGCCTCCAAGACCTGGATCGCGCTGTCGCGACTCGCTTCCTGTTCCACGGTCTCTTCCTCAGCCCCATCTTTTACCGACTGTGCTGCCGACTGTGCTGCCGACTGTGTCGGGCTCGGGCTCGGACTCGGTCGACGAAAGAACCCTCGCTCGAGATTGGGAAATATGCTGGCAATCTTGCCTGACACAGGGGCAGGCTTGAGCTCTTCGGCTTTCTTCTCCTGCGCAGACTCCACATTGTGTAGAGCCTGCAACGCCGAGTCGGTGCTAGTCGTATTGAACTCCCTCGTCGTCACATCTCGCTCTATAGTTTGAGTCATGGTTTGAGCCCTGCTCTCTTTGGCTGCTTCTTCGGGGGTCTCGCCCACCCGCTCAATTAGAGCTTCGGGGATGGCAGACTCCTTGAACTCAGGGATTTCTGGTACAAACGGGGCCGCATGAGCTTCAGGGGACGATTGTGCAGATTGATCAGTGGTGTCAATCTTACCTTTGCCCCAGTCTATAGCAGGCCATGCGTCTTCGTCTTGACGGGCCGTGGAGTCTGACTCTTGAGCTTCAGCTGGCTCGGAGGGTTTGTCATAGGTTTGCTCTTCAGGTTGAATGGTGGGCTCCGCCAGCTCCCTCTCTAGCTGGGGCTCGTCAAGCTTTCCCTTGCGCTTCTTCTTCTCCTTTTTGGGGAGCTTTCTGACAAGCGGGACATCGTCCTCTTTCAATGGCTCGGTAGGTGATTCCATTGACTCGGTGACTGGTGGTATGCTTTCCTCGGGCACTGCTCTCGGGGTCTCTGCCTGTTCTTTTGTCGGTTCCTGCACAAATGCCGGCTCTGGAATTGATCCCTCTAGAACAGCCTCAACCGGTTCTGTCGGCATTGGAGCGTCTTGAGATTCTTCAGTCACCTCCGCTCCAGCCTGCGGTGCAGCGACATCGTCTTGAACTTTTTCCTTCGGTTCGACTGGAATCACCGTATCTAGCTGTTCAGCCTGCTTCTTCAGCTTCCTCTTCTCCTTCTTGGACAACTTTCTCGACACAGGCGTAGACCCAGCCTCGGGCTCGACGGGCTCTATACTCTGTTTTTGAATGGCCTCCTCCACCGGCTGCTCTGGCAAAGTCGAGTCTTCAGGTTGATTCAACACTTTGTCCTCCATAACAAGCTTGAAGTCGTCCTTCACACCCGTAGGCTCAACCGCCTCTCCCTGATTCTCTTGTTCTGGCGCTTTTTCTTCCGGCAAAATCTCCTTTTCAGCTTCATCCGCTACGGTCTCTTTCTCTTCCTGGACGACTTCCTGCGGCACATCCAGCTCCTTCACGGTGTCCGCTGTCTCCATCTTGTCCTCTTCCATCTTGATTTCCCTCTCGGCAGGCTCTTCCTGCGACACGTCCAATTCCTTCTTTTCTTCTGCCGGGGCGGTTGTTGCCTCCACTGGTTCATCTTGCACCTGCTCCATAAGTTCCATGGCAGGTGGAGTCACAGCTTCAGCAGTATCGGCAGCTTTAACATCCTTACCCTCAGTATCAACATCAGCGGTAACA